ACGTGACACATGTGAAGGGGGGGAAGGGGTCTAGAAAATCTCGATTTAAGGATCTCCCCAAACGAGTGAGATATCCTTTCATTCACAGTCACTCATCTGAAATGACTGAATCTTTCACTCATTTTCATTCAAATCACAGGAAATTCATTATCATGCTCTTTCATACCCTGTCTCATGAATAACAGTGAACAGGTATGGTTTCGAAACATACGAAAAAATATGGGAAAAAATTAATTTGGGTGGACACTCGTCGCAACTTTTATGCGACACCCGGATGAAAAATTTGCCGTATACCCAAGTCTGTATGTATAGTTTAGATTTCACCTGGAGTTGGAGATTACTACTTATCCAATATTGACACTTGAAATTTTTCTCTCCTGATTTTGTCCTTGGGTAAAAGTTTTAACTATCCAAATCATGCATATTTACAACAATTAACAAATGTTTTTTTAATCTCTCCTTCCCTAATTTACGTACATATTTATCTACATACCTAAGTGTTTTACGTATCACAAATAACCATATGAGCAGCACACTAAATATTATTGTTTTTGTTATGTATTTATTAGCGAAACTTTCGCATAAAACTCGTCAGTATGTTACAATCCGTAACCGCGGTTAATTTGACTTTTCACCAACCCTTGCGTCCTTATATTTTGCCGCCCAAGCCTTCACGAACTGCTTCCAGTCTTGCTCACTTAAGGTGGCTTGGTCGAGCACTGCGCTACTCGATATCTCCACCCAATTATCCACGCCAAAGTTGAAGGCAGAATCAAGCAAAAACTGTAATCGATCGAAGACAAGTGTGTTAAATGTATTGCATATAAAGGGTGTTACTTTAATTCGTCCGGAAGATGGTTTTCGGGGCTCAAACTACATAATTTTTAAACAAGTTAATATCTTTCTTGGAAATTTTGTCATCCCGTCATAACGTTCATCAAAAGAGAGTTTTCGTAGCGTTTACTTACAAGTTTTCATATATTTAGGCAGGGTTTCGTTTTTCCCGTCAAAAACGATTTTTTACCACGGCAGGTGGGAAAAAGTGGTAAAAACCGGGAAAAACGGTTTTTACCGTTCAAAATGGGAAAATATGGCTGCCCATGTATTTATAGGTAGGTATGGGGAAAGCTAACTTCTTTAATAATCAATATTTTCGGAATTGGACTTCATATTCGTCATCTCCACGAATTTCTGAAAATTTTGATATGTAATACTGCCACTTTTGAACAATTTTGATTGTTTTTCTACTTTTCCCATATGCACACATGCTAATTTTAGAGATTGTTCGAAATTAGCCGTATTACCAACTTATTTTCTCAGAATTTGATGGAGAACACGAATATGAAGTCAAATTTTGAAAATCATCAGTTTTAAGGAAGTTGTTTCTGGTTGCCCCAAACCAGTTTTTCCCATTTCTTCCATTTTACCCATTTCCCACCTATTTTGGGTGGGTGGTAAAAATGCCTTTTTCCCACTTTTTCCCGCTGCCGTGGTCAATTTGGGTTTTACCAATCGAAACCCTGTATTTAGGAAAACTCGGGACGAATTAAATCAACACCCTTAACAAGGAGAATACTATATGCAAATTTGACTTTACCTGCGCATTAAACTCTCCAGCTAGGGCATAAATTGTGAATACATTCTCCAAAGACAACTGCTTCTCTAAAACCGATTCACATTTTCCCTTTAGACCATCGTCGCAATACATGTCAGCCAATTTAAGCAAATCTGTGTGAAAGGAAAAAAAACAGCGGAATATTTTCTTCCGGATGGATACAAACTTTGCGTTTATGAAAAACCTAAAATTCTATCAATTTCGGTATCCGAGAAATATATTTTGTCCGTGTAAAGGTAATACAGCAATGCGTAGAAAGTGTCCCGTTTAATATCTTGCAATTCAATCGGGCTAAAAATTTGGTTACTTTTTGTAAATTCGAAGCAAATTGATTACATATAATATTAAGCCTAGTGCACCGGACGGATTTTTTCGCGTAAAGAAGGATATATCCCATATTCGTATTAAATTACATACACCTTCACTGGAGTTAGGTACTTAAATTTTACTATGAGGTGTACCAGATGGGAGTATTTCTTCAAATCCAGTGCTAAATATTACTTAATTTTTTTCTCAACTTTTTGCTATGAAAAATATGCACGGCCTGAGCACTAGACTTGATTTCTTAATTTACAAAGCACCGACTTATCTAGTTGCTTCCAATCTTGTGAAAATTTCCGTGAAAAGTAATCACTTCGCAAAATAAGTATGGGCTTGTGGACCCGGATGAGGTGTCCCTCAAGTTTAAACGCTACGTCGGTCCCTGCTCCGTCCTTGAATTAAATTTTATTTTATTCTACTTAGCGTAGTTACGAATAAGTTGGACATACTATGTTTTTTTTTACTAAATTCATCAGAATTAGCCTAGAGATTAAAATACTTACTATCGCCGTCTGTAGAGTTTCTCGGATAGTGGGGGGATTTTCGGCACAGTTTGATGCACTTAGCGATTGATGCATAATTTGTGCGGTCCCCTTAAATTTGATAAAATTTAGGGGCGGAAAATTTGATAAATTCTCCAGTTCTGTTGGATTAATACAAGTGACTCCTTTATGGATTTCCCCCCAAACAAAAATTTTGTCTGCAGACTTTGCCGAACTCTGGTTACTAAACGGCATGCAAGAAATGTCATCAAAGATGCCCAAAGTAGCTGCTATTTTGGTTGGGGTGGATAAATTTGTAGTGTTTCCAGTGCCCAATTGTCCCCTTCCATTATAACCGGAAGCATAGATCTCCCCAGATGTGGTCAGTAAAAGGGTGTGATATAACCCATTTGCAATCTATTGCATTATTTTATAATTTTAATTTCATAAAATTCCATAACTGTTCATTCTTGTAGTCACCTTCTTCACAGGTTTGTCAATGATTATTTTAGTAGGTACATTTACACCAGTGGTGTTTCCGAGGCACAATTGCCCATAACCTTTATATCCCCACGAGTACACCTTAATATGAATGTTAATTATGAATTTAAATTTATCAATTTATCTATCATTAAAACCTTACGTCTCCAGACTCGCTCAAGGCGAACCAGCTGTAAAAGCTGCACGAAATCTGTTGGATTCTAATGTTCTGAAGATTCCCGGTAACTTTGCAAGGTTTATTTTGATGCGTGGCATTGCCCAGGCCTAATTGGCCATGTACATTCCAACCCCATGAAAAAACCTCTGCCGTGTCCATAGTTAAACCGAGAGTGTGCGAACCTCCAACCGCAATTTTATCAATTTTAATCCCTTCGTCAAACTTAACTAATGTTGGAGTAGATATTGATGGGTCATTCGTTCCAATCCCCAGTTCGCCATGTGAATTATCGCCCCACGCGAAAACTCGTCCATCTGCGGTTATCGCAAAACAGTGACTGCTCCCAATGGCGAACTCTATCCAAAGCAGCAATCAGCTTTTAATTGAGCATACAATTTCTATGCAGCACAAATTGTGCGACCAGACTTTTCTTACCTTTAACCATTTGTCCACAAAGAGGGTCAATTTTGACAGGTATGGACGCCCGTGTTATGCTGCCGATACCAAGTGATCCACTATAACTGGTACCGAAGGCGTACACATCATCGTCTGTAGTCACCAGAAATCCTAATTCTTCGTGGACATGGGCGAGACGAACATTTAGCAAAAAACCGTCCCCGATGGTATTAAAAAGTTTCCATTTTCTCAGTTCCTTGAGGGGAATTGTTTTCTGGGTCTGTTGAAATGTACGCAATTCGACCAAGTCGCCCATGCTTGCGCTCTTTTTAGGAAATTTAATTAATTTAAACGTGATAAATAATTTGTAACATAATTCTGCACAATTCAAGTTAGAATGATACAAATGGATGTACCAGCTTTGGCCTTATGCTAAACGTAACTCAGTGATAAGGTTTATTTTATCTTATCGCAGTTCACACAGACAACCCATCTCTTGGCTTTATTTCATATTGAAGAGCTTTTTGTGCAAAGTGGTGACTAAAACATGCTGAAGAGTTTATTATAATATCACAAGCTGCCTATATAATCGTGTCCGGTCATATGCATTCCAATCTCATGACAAAACCTTCACCGTTCCCATTATAGGGAAATAGAGTGTGCAAATCTCCGACAAAGTTGCATATGAAATAATCATCTCACATCGCGATGCGAAAATTTGTGCAAAAAATTAGCATATATGTATATACAGTGTTGAACCATCCAGTTTCTCAATTCCCCGAGAGACATAAATCTCCTGTTGATTCAACTGCATAAATCATATAGAGATTGCAATAACCTATGTATGCTCATTAAGTTCTCGCCTTCATAGTTGACACTAATTCCGAATTTTACCCGGTAAATTTAAACCATTTAAATTAAAAAGAACAAACTCACGTCTACGTTTGTAACCTGTTAAAGTTTTGCATACATTTCTAGGGAAATGTCACTCACGAATTTTTATTAAAGTTAGGTTTTGATTCGTAAAGAAAACTTCGTAAATAATTCGAATGTTTGATATTTGCTTTTTAAGCTGAAATAAAATATTTCTATTGGTTACACCGACGGGAAATTTTGTAGCAAAAACTGTCTTCATAATAAATTCACGTCAAGCCTGCGTAAACTTATCAAAATAAGGTAGTTATTTTGGTTAAAAACTTAAATTCAAATCCCTCAATATTTATATAAATACGAGCGAATATGAAGAACTTATTTACATATTTTGACCTATTCGAAATGTGTCCCATTTAACTTCATTTATTTATTGTCGGCTTTTTTAAATGTGCACATAATTTTAATAAATACTTTTCCCACTTATTTTAAAATACTCAAATGTAGGAATTTATTTAAATTTAGCCAAATTTATGTGTCTAATTTTGTGGCGCGGTAAGCGTTTTAGCTTTCCAAACCATGCACGTTCCTTAACACAATTAATAAATTTTTGAAAATTCCCCTTCTCTAATTTGAGTAAAATGAGTTATTTTATTAATTAGATGTTGTGATTGATCAGCAATAATTATTATTATTTAGACAGTTTATTAGTGTAACCTTAACATAAAGTTTCTCACTTTTTAAAGGTATGTACCTCCATATGTGTATGTATTTACTTTGGTTTATTCGAATTTTCACCAACCTTTGCCTCCTCACATCTTGCCGCCCAAGCCTTCACGAATTGCTTCAAGTCTTGACCGCTCACGTCGGCTTGGTCAAGTAATCCTGATTTGGATAACGTCATCCAATTTTCAACTCCAAAGTTGAACGCAGCATCGCGCAGATTCTAAAAAAGTGTACAAGACAAGTGTCTCAAGCGTTTTGTATACAGGGTGGTTTAAATACTACGCTACAATGGAAAATTTGTCAATGGGAAAAGTCCGTAAATCTCCATTAATTGAAAAATTTGAGATTGCTATTTTATAATTATCATCAAAACTGATGACAAAAGTCTTAAAATGTTTAATTTTAGAGACAAAATTTCGGTAACTAATGGAAATTCTAGAATTTTTCCCATCCAAAAATTTTCCATTCTATGTAGCATGGCATTTTAACCACCCTGTACAAACTTAATGCGAAGTATGTATGAAAATGATACTGTACTTGCGCGCTACACTTTCCGGCGGCTATATAAATTGTTAGCACATTTGCCAACGCCATCTGCTTCGCCAAAACCGATTCGCATTTTCCTTTTAGACCAGTAGCGCAATATATGGCAGCCAATTTTAGCAAATCTGTATGAAAGAAAAAAACAACTGAACAATTTTTTTGCGGATGTACACAAAGTTTGTATACTGCACCTAAAATTTTATCAATTTCTCCATCCGAGAAATATAGCTTGTCGGTGTAAAGGTAATACAGCAATGCGTAGAAAGTTTCCCGTTTAATATCTTGCAATTCGATCGGGCTAAAAATTTAGTTGCTTTTTGTAAATTCCCAGCAGACTAATCACAATATTAAGGCTAGTACTCAGGACGTATTTTTCCCACGTAAAGAAGGATGTGGCTAAATTCCATAACCCTTCACTGGATTTGCTTGACCTTTATTATGAAGTCTACCAGATGGGAGTGTTTCTTAAAACCCAGTGCTAAATGTTACTAAATTATGTATTTTCCCCGTGTTTGCTCAACTTTTTCATATGAAAAGTACGTCCTGAGTACTAGGCTTGAATCGTTAATTTACAAAGCACCGACTTATCTAGTTGCTTCCAATCTTGTGAAAATTTCCGTGAAAAGTAATCACTTCGCAAAATAAGTATGGGCTTGTGGACCCGGATGAGGTGTCCCTCAAGTTTAAACGCTACGTCGGTCCCTGCTCCGTCCTTGAATTAAATTTTATTTTATTCTACTTAGCGTAGTTACGAATAAGTTGGACATACTATGTTTTTTTTTACTAAATTCATCAGAATTAGCCTAGAGATTAAAATACTTACTATCGCCGTCTGTAGAGTTTCTCGGATAGTGGGGGGATTTTCGGCACAGTTTGATGCACTTAGCGATTGATGCATAATTTGTGCGGTCCCCTTAAATTTGATAAAATTTAGGGGCGGAAAATTTGATAAATTCTCCAGTTCTGTTGGATTAATACAAGTGACTCCTTTATGGATTTCCCCCCAAACAAAAATTTTATCCGCAGACTTTGCCGAACTCAGGTTACTAAACGGCATGCAAGAAATGTCATCAAAGATGCCCAAATTTTCTGCTATTTTGGTTGAAGTGGATAAATTTGTAGTGTTTCCAGTGCCCAATTGTCTCTGTGCATTATGACCGGAAGCATAGATCTCCCCAGATGTGGTCAGTAAAAGGGTGTGATGTAACCCATTTGCAATCTATTGCATTATGTTATAATTTTAATTTCATAAACTTCCATAACTGTTCATTCTTGTAGTCACCTTCTTCACAAGTTTGTCAATGATTATTTTAGTAGGTACATTTACACCAGTGGTGTTTCCGAGGCACAATTCCCCATAACCGTTATATCCCCACGAGTACACCTTAATGCATATAAATGTTAATTATTTATTTAAATTCGTAATGTTATGATTGGAACCTTACGTCTCCCGACTCGCTCAATGCGAAAGAGCTGTAAAGGTTGCACGACATCTGTTGGATTCTAATGTTCTCGAGATTTCCAGTAACTTTACAAGGTTTATTTTAATTCGTGTTATTCCCCAGGCCTAGTTGGCCATATATGTTGTAACCCATGAAAAAACCTCAGCCGTGTTCATAGTTAAGGCGAGAGTGTGCCAACCTCCGACCGCAATGTTAGCAATTTTTACCCCTTCTTCAAATTGAACTAATGTTGGAGTAGATATTGACGTGTCATCCGTTCCAGTCCCCAATCTCCCATATGAATTACTGCCCCACCCGAAAACTCGCGGTTATCGCAAAACAGTGAGTTCTACCGCAGCCAATGGCGAACTCTATCGAAAGCAGCATGCAGCTTTTAATTGAGCATACAATTTCTTTGTAGGAACAAATTGTGCGACCAGATTATTCTCACCTTTAACCGTTTGTCCACAAAGAGGGTCAATTTTGACAGGTATGGAGGCCCGAGTTATGCTGCCGATACAAAGGGATCCATAAGCATTGGTACCCAAGGCGTACACATTATCGTCTGTAGTTGCCAGGAACCCAACTTGCCCATCGATATGTGCGAGACGAACATTTTGCAAAAATCCGTCCCCGATGGGGTTGAAAAGATTCCATTTTCTCAATTCCTTGAGAGGAATTGTTTTCTGGGTGAGTTGAAATGTACGTAATTCGACCAAGTCTCCCATGGTTGCTCTCTTATTAAGAAATTTAACTAATTTAAGGATGATAAATAAAATGTAAAATAATTTTGCACAATTGGAGTTAGAGTGGTACAAATGGTTGTACAAGTTTTGGTCTTATATCAAACGTAGCTTAGTGATAAGGTCCGTTTTACAGTATATGCAGAAACTCTTTCCACCCTCGTGCTTTTTGCACTTAAAGCGTTATATTGCTCGAGAAGCTTTATCGAATGAACTGAAATTTTGCACAATTACTTATCACGATGTAAGGTTTTCGAAACCATACTATGGATAATGGGCACAAGGAACGACACGGTGTAATTATATCCAAAATTTCTACAGGAAAAAAGTCTTTCCACTCTATGACTTCTTTGCACTTATGGTGTAATTTCTTTAAAACATCGTCCAAAATCGTTCTGTACCCTCTTCATGGTTAATAATTCTTTGAAAAATTACACTTGTGTACCGCCAAACTAATTGTTTGTTATCAATATTAGCTAATATTACCTTAAAAACATCTTAGCACAGATTTGGGGCAAAAGGTAGGTAAGTTTAGTGATAATGGACTTCGACATCAAAGAAGTTTTGATAAACTGCTCATGAGGAAGTAAACATTTACCAGAATAGTCCGAAAGTGCAAAAAACTTGGGATAGTGGCGAACCAGCCAGCTTTTAAAAGACTACGGAATTCGACCCATAGAATCTATGACGCTATACTCTTCAAGAATCAGTGAAACTTTCTGCTACAGCTTAAAAAATCAACTAGAAATCAGGTAAGAATATAGCCTTCAAATTACTGTGCAAATTGGAAAGAATAGGATCGAGGAACATGGATTTAAAGGCCCAGCAGCGCGGAAAATGCGATTTTTCTCAAAGTCCAATATGGCCATGCATTCTAAATTAGCTAAAAAGTACCTTTATTGGACCGTTCAGGGCTAGAAACGCATACTTCGGAGCGACGGTACCAGTACGAACCTGTTTGGTTCAGATGTGGTCCCTTGGGTCTGGAGAAGACAAGAAAATGCTGACAAACCTGAGTACTGTGTACATACCATTAAGCATGGAGGTGAAAATCGAAAGGTTAGGGCGTAAAAGTCTTGGAAGGGGGTCAATTTTTTTTATAAAATCAAAGGAATCATGGACTCCAACTACTATTGCGACATTCTGAAACGAATTTGATGATGACAGAAGGAAATTACGATCTGGGAGTAATTTTATTTTCAAATAGAATGGTGGTCCCGAGCACGTATCAAAATTATTGAAGTCTTGTCTGACAAAAAAGAAGAATCAATTGTCCGATTGAAGTTAGAAATTACCAAAAATAAATGTTAGTCAACATTTATGGTCAATTATGAGTTCCAAAATTGTTTAGCACAAACTATCAAACCTCAAACCATTTCTCGACACCATTAATCTTGAATTGGAGAGTTTCGACACTTCTTTTACCTTGTTACATTAAAATTTAATCAGGGTGGAAAGACTTTTTTCCAATTGGGATTTTGGATATAATTACACCGTTTCGCTTCTTGTGCTTCACCGTTATCCAAAGTATGGTTTCGAAAACCTTACATCGTGGTAAGCAATTGTGCAAAATTGCAGTTTATTCGATAAAGCTCCGTGAGCAATATAACGCTTTAAGTGCAAAAAGCATGAGGGTGGAAAGAATTTCTGCCTATACTGTATCTTATCGGTGTTCAGGCCTGACAAACAATCTCTTGACTTTATTTCATACTGAACAGCTTAATTTGCATAATTTTGGTTAAAAGATACTGAAAAGTTTATGATAATATCACAACCGCATATCGAATCGCGTCCGTTTTTGTTCCTTATTAGCTTAACCTTCACATCAAACTTCTCATTCTCACAGAAGCTCCATACATATTACCGTATCTCTGCTTAAAACCCAGCCAAATTTATGCATAAAATCCTTTAAATTTTTCACCCGTGCACTGATTTTCTAAAATGGACACAGAAGGCTTAAATTTGTATAAAGCTACTGGGGTAGAACAAACAAATACAAAATTTTTAAACTGTAAGATTTTCATGCCAGATGACCCAAGATGATCTCCACTGCGTTCAGAAATTGGTAGAATAGTACTTGGTACGATTTCTGTCAATATTAATAGTCCCAATTCGTTTTTGAAAACTTTCTGAAAGGTTATTTTGCTATTGCTAAATATGCAATACAAAATAATTTGCCAGAAAAGTTCTCAGGTGTTTTTTTTTCAGAAACGCTCGCCAAAAATCCTAATTTGATCTCAGTTTGAAAATTCGTGTACCATTGTCGTCCCAGATAATAGTTTTATAATATCCTACATCAAAATATATTTATTTATCATAAATTCCATGACTAGGTAAAAACATATCGTAGGAAAAATCAAAACTTGAAAAAGTTATAAGAGAATAAGGGTATAAGAGAACAACTCTCTGGACGTATAATGGCTAATTTTTTTTTAATCCGAGAGAAACTGGATTTTATGAAGGTTTGAACGTGTAAAAACGGATTTTTTTGTTCTTTGTGTAAGTGGGTGTGGCGGCCTTGGTCATCGGGTAAAGCAACTTCATTGTTTTAGTACACTCATGGGACAGTGTCACATGTCTAAAGGGCATAGAAATCTATTGCAAGTACGGAATTTCCCCTCCTTACGATTAGTTGGGTCATCTAACAAAAATTTTGAAGCGGGTTCTGACCCTGATTCGGGCTAAATAAACACTCCACTCTATATTATTTCCTACTAACAATGGAACCTTTGTTCAAGCTACACGGGATCGACTGGGGACTTATGTCAAAAAGTCAAGCCAAAAACTAGAAGTCAAGTGACACTTATCTTCCCGTTGAATGGCCCCTTTGAAGAAAAATATTCCGGGTCAAAGTTCGCACTCCTCCCTGGTTTTCACCCCGTGGAGGAAAAAGCAAGAGAAAATTTGCTCAAAAATCGCCAATATTTTTCTTCAAACGGGCCATTTAACGGAAAGATAAGTGTCGCGTGACTTAATTTTTGGCTTGATGTTTTGACATAACTCGCTAGTCCATTCAGGTGTAGCTTGAAAAGAGGTTCCATTGTAAGCAATTTCAAAAAATAAATATGGGTCACCCATCCTGACCCATCCTTTTATATTTTTAGCATTTTTTCGACGAACCCTCATTTCTAAGAAAATTACGAAATTTTGCGAAAAGTTAAAAGCGATAATTTTGGAAAAAATTTCATGGGATAAGAAAGTTGAACTCCTTGTCATGACTTTTGCCAAAAATTTTGAAAATCCGTTTAGGATTTCAAAAGTTATGGCGGTTTCAGAAATAAAAACATTCAAAATTGGCGACTTTGGCGCCACGGCACGACGCCAAATATGAGTTTTACACGGAAATATGAATGAATCCTTCATCTGGGATCCTAGTAGATTCTAAAAAATATACTGGGTACTCTGGTCTCGAACCGTTTGAGTCAAACGACAGGTAGTGAGTGTCCCTTGTTAGTTGGTTTGGCAATTCAATTTTTGCTGCGTCATTACCGGCCAAATGCAAAGCATTTTTTCCAGTGTTCTCCCAAGTGTCCCAAGTGTTCTCCCAGCATTGCTGGGTGGTTGGGTAAGAAATTCCAGGTATGCTTCCATATGTCGTAAAGTTTTGCTCTTGACTGTAGTAAGTGGTCGGATAATCTCGGATAATCCGATCGGATCGGATAGTTTCGGATGACCAACCATAGCTCCCATGTAATAACAGTTGAAATAAAACTTTTTTGATAACAAATCATCTAGATCTTCTGCACTAAATTTTTGTAGAGACATGGGTGTAGGGTTTCCAACTCGTTACACATTTCCATTTCCATATGCTGCATGTAACATAGTATTTTTTTTTAACTTTTGTAGCAAATCGATTCTTGAGGAAATGGTAAAGGGCCAAAAAGATATTCTTTCAGCGAAAAATCAGGAGCAGATATGGCGTTAACATGTATTGCGAAGCATATGGGGCTGAGATACGCGAAGTAAACCTTGTGGCCTATACAAATATGTGTATACCCTAGCCTAAAACTTACTATCGCCGTTTGTAGCGTTTCTCGGATGGTGGGGGGATTTGCCGCACAGTTTATTGCGCATAGCGATTTAAACATAATTTGTGCTGTCCCCTTAAACATGGGGGGAAGTCGTGGAAAATTTGATAAATCTGACGCCAATTCGATAGGGTTCCAACCAACGATTTCTTTATGGATTTCCCCCCAAACATAACTTCTGTCCATAGATTTTGCAGAACTTTGATGACTCCAAGGGTAGCAACAAATGTCATCAAAAATCTCCAAAGTTGCTGGAATCTTGGTTGGCGATGTTAGATTTTTATTTATTCCAGTACCCAGTTGTCCTAGTACATTATAACCGGTAGAGTAGATCACCCCGGTTGTGGTCAGTAAAATGGTATGGTATGACCCACATGCAATCTACATAGTTGACTCATTTATAATTTTAATAAATTCATATACTGCAAGAACTTTGAAATGTGTATATATTTCGCTCACCTTCTTTACAGGTTGATCAATGATTAGTTTTGTTGGTGCATTTACAGCTGTGGTGCTTCCTATGCCTAATTCCCCATAATTATTATATCCCCATGAGTACACCTTAGGTGAAAATGTTAATCTTGTTTAATTTAAATCAGTATGATGTGTTTTGTAAAATTAGACCCTATTTATATCCATTGCTAGGGTTAAAATTATATAAAAAGGCAAATCGTTAGAACTTTAAATATGTACCTCTCCCGACTCGCTCACGGCGAACGAGCTGCCCCAGGTGCAAGAAATCTGTTGGATTCTAACGTGCTGGAGATTTATAGCAACTTTACAAGGTCGGTTTTGATCCGTGGTATTTCCCAGGCCTAGCTGGCCACGTTCATTCGCTCCCCATGAATAAACCTCAGACGTGTCCATAGTTAAAGCGAGATTGTGCCCATATCCGACCGCAATTTTAGCAATTCTTACACCTTCTTCAAACTTAACTAATGATGGAGTAGGTATTAATCTGTCATTCGTTCCAATCCCTAAGTGACCACAATAATTATCGCCCCACGAGAGAACTCGCCCATCCGCAGTAAGCACGAAATAGGGACCTTTACTGCTCCAAATGGCGAACTCTATCCAAAGTGCCATGCACATACATTTTCCACGAAAGCACAAATCTTACGACAATATTATTCTCACTTTTCACGGTTTGTCGACAAAGAGGGTCTATTTTGATAGGTATGGACGCCCGCGTTCTGATGCCTGGTGATGTGCAAATGTTGATAGCGTATACATCATCGTTCGCTGTTACGAGAAATCCAACTTCGTCGTGGACATGGGCGAGACGAATATTTTGCAAAAAACCGTCGCCGATGGGGTTGAAAAGCTTCCATTTTCTCAATTCCTTGAGAGGTATTGTTTTCTGGGTCAGTTGAAATGTACACAATTCGACCAAGTCACCCATAATTTCCTTCTTTTTATTCCCCTCTTTTTAAGAAATTAGTTGATAATTAGTTTAAAATTGCACATAATATGTTGAATAATTATAATTCTGAACAATTGAATGAATGTACAAGTCTGGGCTTTGTATAAAATCCAACTCAGTGATAAAGTCCATTTTATCTTATCGGTATCCTGGCCTGGCGAACAATCTCTTGACTTTATTTCTATTGAGCAGCTTGATTTGCACAATCGTGATTAAAACATACTGAAAAGTTTATGACAAATTGTCATTGACAATATCACAACCTGCATATCGATTCGTGTCCGTTGTCAACCGGTCGTATACATTCCAATCCCATGACAAAACCTCCACCGTTCCCATTATACCGAAATAGAGTGTGCAAATCTCCAACCAAGTTACGTATGAAAAAATGTCACGTCGCGATGCGAAAATTTGTGCAAAAAGTTATGTAAATTTATACATTGTTCAGCCGTTTGCAGTTTTTTTAATTCCCAGAGAAGCATAATTCTCTTGATTCAACTACATAAATCGTATATATATAGAGGCTGCAATAACTTATTTATGTATGCTCATTAAATTCTCGTGTTCACAGTTGGCACTAATTTTACCCAGTAAATTTAGACTTGAAATGCTTCTACATAGAACCAGGTTGTTTGTCTTTTTAAACTTTGCAATTAAGGGTATGAATTTATTATTCGAATATATTTCGCAGAAGACATGATCTCCCAATGTTCATGTTTGGCTGGATATTTGCATCGGAAAGGAGAAAATGCTCCGTAAATTTGACACAATTTATGTACACTTTCCGAATTTATGGCGGATTTTCTCCTTTTAGGATCCAAATACCTCACCATCACTTAAAATTAGGTCACTGACATTCAGTGGGTTAATTAATGAGGTCCCAGGAACTCGTCTCTTTCCTTTGCACATATTTTTCTAGTATCTATTTGCATTCGATTTTGGAAATTATAACTTGAAAACCAGGAGGTAGTTTTTTTTACTAAGAATGGATTTTATTTGATAGATCGCAAATTGGGTTATTTTATACTTACAATGCGATGACGCCAGCGGTCTCGTTCCGATTTTGACGAAACAATGATAATTATGTAACCTTACACAAATAATTGAACACGTGTTTCGGGATTTTTCATAATGCTCAGCTTAAACGAAATTATGACGTGATCCGTGAGCGAGAATTTCCATTTCTACCGTAACGTCCGTAACATTTTTCTCGTGAGGGAGAAAAATCCAGATTCACGCTTATCGGTAGCGATCCCATCATAATTTCGTTTAAACTTAAAATGCGTGGGCATGAAGTGGTTTTCTACCGATTTCAAACAAATTTTGAAAATTTTGAAAATTCAACATACATGAAATTTCGAAAAATCAAAATTTTTGAAAACCAGATTTTTCTTAATTTACTCAAAAAGAATTTTCTTAATTGACTCAATTTCCGCTACAACCGAAATCTCGCGTCTTCATGAAAAAATAAAAATACGGTTAGGGTTATTTCGCTTGTTGCTGAATTTTGGAATAAATTTTAAGCAAAAAGTAAATTTTCAAATTTTTATCCGGTTTCAAAAATGCATAAAGATTTTTGCACAGAATTACATTGAGTAACTTAAGGAAAATCTGGTTTTCAAAAAATTTAATTTTTGGAAATCTCTAGTTTGTTGCATTTTCAAAATTTTCAAAATTTTCAAAATTTTCAAAATTTTCAAAATTTGTTTTAAATCGGGAGAAAGCCACTTCATGCCCACGCATTTTAAGTTTAAACGAAATTATGATGGAATCGCTAAGCATGAATCTGGATTTTTCTCCATCACGAGAAAAATGTTACGGACGTTACGGTAGAAATGGAAATCCTCGCTCACGGATCACGTCATAATTTCGTTTAAGCTGAGCATTATGAAAAATCCCGAAACACGTGTTCAATTATTTCTGTAAGGTTACATAATTATCGTTGTTTCGTCAAAATCGGAGCGAGACCACTGGCGTCATCGTATTGTTAGAAGTACTTTATTTGTAATTTGGTAGCAGAATAATTAAATATTTAACAAATTTTAAATTAAAAGGGAGCAGATGATGGGAAATCCTGCTCAGTTTCGTAGCCCGCACTGCACCCATTTAAACAGTATAAACCTGTCAATTTCGCACAATACGATTTGTATGTACATACAGTCTACAAATAGAGGTCGCAGTAGCAGGAGAATGATATGTTGTAGAGCCGCCATATTTTTTGTAGCGGGACGGGAATACATATGTATTTATACTGCATGTCTTCGGAGGAAGCGTGGTTTCAATTATGGATATAAAATTAAGAAAACAAATTCAGTTATGTGAGTTAATGTGCACTCTTATAAAACATGTTACAAATTTTAAAAGATAAAAATGTATATACTTACAATGCGCATACACTCTGAATTCTAAATTAAGTAAATTATGTAAATCCATATTTTCGAACATTTATATGAGAAAATATGCACGTGTAATAAATAATTTCCATGTGTATCTCCAAGTACAGATAATAAGGATAGCACAAATTTATGGATGTTTCAATTTTTATTATTGCAACTATTCAAATCAAACAATTAATCAACAAATTATACATTGTTAGACATTATCAGCATACATATGTAACTACGTGAAGATAAATTTATCAGATATACACATACACTGAGTGGAACTGCTGATCATCCTCACCTAGTGCGCTCGGTTCCAATGGTCACCGAAAGGGGCATAGCCGACCAATATATGTCAAAAAAGCATCAGACGTGCAGAAATATGTACTAAATCAGTCAATTAAGCAAAAACTTCCAAAAAGTTAACTGCACTCATTTTACACGGAATGAGCATAGAGTAAGACACAAGCGGGCTCGCAACTAGTCTTCATCCGCCACAACAAAAACACAATTTTCGAGTGGAAACAATTTTCTTGATTTATCATTTTTTTATGCGGGTAAGTGCATCTTGATTACTATTAATTCAAGTAATGAAGACCATTTTATTCATTGTCATTTTGGTTTTTCAGAGCTGAAAATGCCTGGAAAACACTTGTCGCACGACATTAGGAAATTGGTGATAAGTTACCACGAGAGAGGATTGAAACCTACAGCAATCAGCAACAAGACGAAAGTGAAGATTCCCACCATCAAATCCATGCTGTCGAAATGGAAGAAATACCATACAATTACTGATTTGAAGGGAAATAGCCGCCGTCGTGTTACCACTCCTCGAGTCGACCGACTTATCCAGAAGAAAGCAAATTCCAATCGCTTCTTATCTGCCCGAAAAATCAATGTGGAATTGGCTCAGCAGTTTGGTACGAAGATTTCTGATTCCACTATTCGAAATCGGATCCGAAATATGGGGTTTAAAGGCCGAGTCGCAACCAAAAAGCCACTGCTGACAAAGCCCCAAATTAAGAAGCGTTTGGATTGGGCGAAGAGTCACTCCACGTGGTCCGTATCCGATTGGAAAAAAGTTCTTTCGAGTGACGAAACCAAAATAAACATATTTGGATCAGATGGCAAAGTTTTTGTCTGGAGAAAACCAGGAGAACGAGTCAAGAGTAACTGTACCAAGAAGACCGTGAAGCATGGTGGTGGGTCCATTATGGTTTGGGGTGCAATGTCGTGGAAAGGCGTGGGAACCATGGAAGTAATTGAAGGAATTATGACGAAAGAAGTGTACCAAGGGATTTTGGACCGAAATTTGATGAAATCTCGGAACAGCCTGCGACTAGGGAAGAATTTTGTCTTCCAACAAGACGGGGACCCCAAACATACGTCCAAATTGGTCACGAATTGGCTGCAAACAAAACGGGTAAACGTAATGAAATGGCCGCCACAGAGCCCGGATTTAAATCCAATTGAACATTTATGGTCAATTTTGAAGAAAAAAGTTGCTGAAAGGAACCCGACTTCCAGAACAAATTTAATTTCAATTGTGGACGAAGAATGGAACAACATCCAGAAGGAAACAACAGCGAAATTAGTGGAATCGATGCCAAATCGAGTCAATGCAGTCCTGATGGCCAAGGGTGGTCACACAAACTACTAATTGTAAAATTAAGTTGGTAAATCTAAAAATAAATGGAATTTGCTTTAAGCGGATGAGCAGTAGTTGCGAGCCCGTTTATGAATTTCTCCATGTTAATGTCGTATAAAATGCATCTAGATAACTTTCTACAAGTTGTTGATGAATAGACTGATTGATAACATATTTCTGCACATTTCATGCCATTTTGATTGGTATTGGTCGGCCGTCCCCCTTTCGGTGACCATTGGAACCGAGCGCACTAGGTGAGGATGATCAGCAGTTCCACCGAGTGTATGTAAATCACGAAAAAATTTAATTCAAATATTACACTTTCACTAAATTCCCTAACCCGGTGGACTATGCATTAAGTATTCAACCCGGTAGGAAATAGAATCTAAATTATTTACAGGAAATTCGTATTTATTGAAATTTCAAATACTCACCATAAGTTAATTTGTTGTAGGAAAGTAAACTTGGAAAATCAAGTTACACAGACATAACTGATTTTTTTAAGTATTCCAGCAATTCATCGAAAGACAATATTCGTATTCGAAATAATCCTTTGTAAAGTTACAATTTTATCAAAGGTATTACAAGCGTAATATCACTACACCATAGCATACTAAACAGTTGAAAATCTCAATATCCTGCCAAGTTGCCAGCGGCTACCTCTTTATCATTCGTGGAGTTAATATAAAATCACCAAAAATCTTTGAAAAACCCTTTGTTCTTGGGTTATACCGAACTAACATGCTAAATTAATAAGTAGTTTTGTACATACACTTCATGTTAATCATACCATGTATACTCAAAATGACGTATTTTGCAAAGCTAAAGGTGATTTAGCCAATTTGTAAAGCCAAGTACCTTAATGGCGTAAATTTATTAAAAGTATTTTGAAAGATTGTAATTTACAAGGCTAGCTATGTACATACTAAATAACCACTAAATTGTAGAGAAAGAGTCACATATAGAGACTAGTTTTGATGAGGGGTTTGATGAAGCGTTACCCAGTTTGGAAAATGTCACGTTTCCAGTTCAATTTGTATCTGGTCTAGTCGCATACATGATTTGATTTCTATATGCACTTTTCTTTTAAATTCGTTTTTATCTTGTGACTTTCTACCCGCAAGTCACAAGTGAGCAGATAAATGTCTTTCACTTACTTTGCACTCTTAAAAAATTGGATAAAATTTCTACAAAGTTTTGTAAGTGTGTCCAACCTTGGGTAAATATGTAAGAGGATGGTAAATCTTACTAACCTGGTTGATTAATCTTTTTGCACAACTATTTTCCCAAATTCTTCATGACTTTGCTAAAAGTGTGGTCTTTAAAAATCTTGAATTGCGTTTAGAAATAAATACAATGAAAAAAAAAGTTTGGAGTTTATCCATGGGTATGCTAAAACACAGAAACGCGAAAGAAAACAAACGGCCCAAAATTGCCTAGTTAGCTAGCAATTTGGCACAGATCAGCAAGTTCTGCCAATTACAGATTCCTCAAATGCGAGTTAGATTTTCCTGTGCCAAATGCTATTTTATTCAGCAGGAATTTACTTACTCCTTAAACCCATATAAATACAATTCTCCAGCTGCAAATTTGCAACATTATTCACAGTGCAACAATCGTGACTGAAACAATAAAAATTTAACCAAGTCGGGGAAGAAAATAAGGATTGATTCATAAATCGTGGCACGATTTGAAAAGGCGTTCATTACTAAACAATAAGTTTAAATGCTAACAACTTTGTTAATAATTGTTACAAATGCGATGCACAACATTGACCAAAATCACTTTGGTCCCGTCGACCCTCTAGAAGAAATTTCTCACAGGTTTCTCCAATCCTGTTGATTTCTGCTTTTCCTGACTTTCTCCGCACAATCTTCAGGTTTGACTCATGACGAGTCGAATTCAAAGCAGGATTTTCGTCACTTTCGGTCGTCATGAATGTTCTCTTTCGCATCAAGCCTAAAATTTTTCAATCCCACTTGTCTGGAGAAAATTGTTGGCATGTTCCAAGTTTGCCAGAAACCAAATTTTTTTATCGTTGAGGTGGTCGGTAATAATTCAACCGTAATGGCAGGTGGCTTCATATAACCAAAATCTGACTGAGTCTCCTGATCACCATTTATGTAAGGAATTAATCGGTGTTTGATACAATTTGATAAATAAAGACACGGGGTCATGGTCCAATCCAAATTGAGGGCTTTGCAATTGCTCCATTTTCGTCCAAGGCTAACCAAATCTGTCAGTTTTTGCGAATTTGACTTTGGGAAATACATTAACTTCATATTTCATATCCTTACGACTTGTAGCAATAACAAATTGCTCGGTGCAAACTTTTCGCCGCGTTATTGTAAAAGTACACCAAGAGATTTGGTAGGACTTGTTTTTCTTTTTGTCTGACGATGTTCTTGTTTATTTACCAGCCTTTTTGAACTAAAACCCTAATACTACATCGGTTGGGCTATCATATGAAACAAGTCATACACAAAAATTTGAATCTTTGTTAAATCTGGAGGTAAAGGCAAAACTGTGCCACGATTTATGAATCAACCCTTAACTGTCGGTTTTGTGATTTTATTTTATGGAATTTTGTGAATTTAGGCAAGAAGTCACAGCAGGACCAAATTCCACATGCGAAATTGCCCTCTGACACAGGCACCCACGAACCAAGCCAATAAAAACCAGATCCCCGCAGAAACACCTCTTGAATACCTATGTGTGGTGCCCGAATAGATAAACCGTCTCGGGAATCGTCTCACACGTTCCTCGAAGTACTAATTTTTGCCCTTCTGTTAGTACTCGGACAGGATCTAATAGCTTTGGAGAATTTTGTCTAAAAATATTTAACTTTACACAGTGCAAAGCATTATGGGATGCAAATCACAAAGACTGCACTCAGGCGGACGACTATAAAAGCTTCGGCGAAGACGATTCAAATACCACTCAAAAATTCCGCCGTACATCTAATTTTTCGCTTAATTATGCAGTGAGCAAAAACGAGAAGAATATAAAAGCTAACACCACAACAACAATTACAGTGTGCATTACAGGCTGATGCTTCTGTAGCTACGTATAGGTGACGAGAAGAACACTGTCGAGGATGAGGTGAGGTTAGGTTAGCCTAACCTAACCACCCCCAGCAGAAGCAACAGAGGAAGAAGAGCATGGGCCCGCCCCACAAGCAGATAATGCACAACAAATAAATCCGCAGCAGCCTTCGCATTCACATGCCTTGCGGGATCGCACCAAACTGAAATCACCAGAACGCCTCCAATATTACATATGCACCTAATACTGCTTTCAAAGAGGAACCCAAATCATTACCAGAAGCAATGGTCCCGACAAAAGAAGGAATGGATGGATACCATGAATCCAGAATTTTAAAGTTTACTGAAAAACAAAACCTTCAAAATAGTAAAGAAACCTAAAGGCGTTCGAACCTTGGATGGAAAATGGGTTTATCCAATTAAGATGAATGCAGACAAAACTATTGACTAAAGGCACGGTTATGTCCCCGAGGCTGCAAGCTTTAATTTGTCCCAAGTTACAAGTGATTCTTCCGTTTACATTAGCAAAAGCTTCATAACTAGTGTATTCCTATTGGATTACGTTGACGATGCACGCTGGTCCGGAATATTGAATTTGTTGGCCAAAACCTATGCTCACCGATTCGAAAACAAAGTACTGTCTTCAGTACCTTTGACATAGATGTTCAATTTTGGAAAATTTCATTTGAATTATTCAAGTGGTTATGGCGTGGCGTGTGTCTAAACTTGGCTCATAACATTGGGCTAAATGGGAATAACTTCAAGTTGAAAATCCTGTCTATTCCTGTGCTTTTCTGAGGAACCGTGAATGTATTATTAATCCCTCATATCTCATCTACAAAAACTGCTGCCACCAGCTGCCACCATTACAAATAGCCAGAGAGATTTGAATTTATGTAATTGCAAATTGCCAAAAGCAAAATATCTGGAGTGCTCCAATCATTGTCACGTATGAAATTTTCGAGTGTTCCAAATAACACAATCGCTTCAAAATATCTTGCCCACTCCTTGGGGAAGGAAATATGATAAAACAAACCCCTCCAAAAAATTCATTTCGAGTGGGGGGAATTTTAGGAATTAGTGACCCCCTGAGGAGGCATGACGAAATTTTTAATTTTGGTCCTATTTCTTTTGTTAATTAAGTTAGAGGGCAAAAATGCTTCATAAAACTATAGAATATTGTCATTTCATGATAATACATCTTCAAAATTATCGAAACAAAACTTTCAAGTTCGGATTTCGACCACACCTCCTGGCAGTGGGTGTGCCGATAATGTTCCAATAATGGTCGTAGTTGTTTAGAGCTTGATTAGACCTTTCAAATGAGACCCCACTTGACGGGGTAATGCGAGAAAATAAATATTGACCTGTGACCACACCCCCAAGAGGGGGTGGTGGTCAATTAAAGTTGCTTTACTCATGCCCCTTGGAATTTGATATCTCGATTCCCGAAGGCAGAATTAGACAAAATGGAATGGTTCGAGAGCTAGAGGTTTTGGCAAACAAATAAAGCAATCCGGACCAGTGTGCGATGACCTAATTACTTCAAGCAGCAAAGAAGTAATAAATCAAGTTTTAGATCATCTTTCTTTCAGAACTGCTTTCGAAATCACCACTCAATCAGTTTTTGGGCATGTGCATCACCCAGGACAAGACAGCAGAACTATGATCCTCAATTCCGGCAAATCCGTTCAAGCAACAAGCTCCATATATACATATTTATAAAGTTTGCAAACACTACTAGTGTGTTACAACTTTAATTAATTTATGTAAATCTACAATGACTCTTTTTATAATTAATGACAATTAGTAGATAATTTAGATAATTTTTGTACCTATGTAGGTAAGCTTAGGTGACCCAACCCTAGGTAAGCATGATTACTCGTGTAACGTAAATGTGCATTTCAATTAAATGATTTTACTTTTAAATTAGGTTTAAAACGAAACCTACAGATACTTTTGTTATTTATAGAAGTTTAGTACTACTGTGAAGAAGAAATTTGTGTACACATGTTTAACTAAACTCCATTTCGATGGTTTAGTGCGGCATTGAAATTCTTAGAGAAAAATTAGAAAAGAAGGTAAATCTCGTAACGTAAAGGTTGCAAAATTCTTGATCGAGTATAAAAGCACCCAAGAATTTTTAAACCACGCTTTTACATAAAATGAATGCAAGGTTACCCTATATTTTGTAAAGTTCTTTACGAACACAAGATATTCCCAAAATTTCCTATTCAATTGTTTATCTATCATGGTGTGATACATAAATTTATATCTTTCGTGTTATCGTTTCTATTTGCTTTTAAGGAAAGAAGAATATGCAAAAACATAGGCAAAAGGATGCTATAATTCAACTGAATAATTAGAACTAGATAATATCCGTACAAACTATTTCCCCGTGCAAGTTGTCCTGTTTGGTCGCCTAGAACTGTTCTTCATTCGTCGTCTGGGTAGAAATGACTTTTTCAATTACAATTTCAATCTAGAAACAACAAAATTACTCATCATTTTCGAAATTATAGCCACGAAATATTTTTTTAACTTCACAAAATATTTTTAGCTTATGTAAATATATCCTCTTACCGTAATAAATAGCCCATGAACCAAAGATTTAATCTGGTGTCCGACATGAAGCCAAATTTAGGAACGTGTAAATCATTGGTGGTAATCTTTCCAATAAAAATAGGTGGAAAATCTTGTAACAATAAAACCATAAATTTGTCGACATTAAAAACTCGATCATTGCAAATTTAGATCGCAAAATTGTACACGAATTAATTTCCTCTCAAATCTACGTACCTGCAATTTCAATTAATTTCCGAACCCGAGTTGTACCAAGTTCACAAGTCTGCTCAGCAGCTGCCTATATAAATCATTGGAGAAAAACATTCTAAAATTACACATGTCAAGATATTACAACTAAATATGTGCATGATTCTGTATTCAAATAAATAACAAATTCATTTCTGCTCCAAACTTTGGAGCAGAATTTTGGAGTCCAAAATTGTGTACCTTCTAAAGCCCAAATTTGACATTTGACATTTCACAATTTCACTTCGCAACGACCTAAATTAACCCAAAACATTTCAAAAATTAAATATATTACGATAACTATCGTTGCAAAAAGATATATGTAGGTATAATTAAATATTCACCAAATTTTTATGAATAAATTCATAACTTCTTACCACAAAAAATTAGGTTAACCCTGGTTTCTCTACTCTACCTTCTACCAGTGAACCAGCCCCACCTCACACCTCCCACCTTGGCTCAATTTGTAATAACTTCACATTTTCAACCAGGAAATGAGTTGTTGCATATGTCACGACAAAAGTAAGGACATGGAATAAATGGCCGTTTTTTCCAGTAAAGATTTACATAACTAAAAGTAAAAGTAGAGTTGGGTACAAATTTAGCATTAAACGAACCGTTAACGCAAGCATGATGTGCATATTTAAGTACAATCTACACCAAAAGCTTTGTCCGTGCGTGGTTCTCTTTGTCCGTAAAGGGGCCATTTCACTAATAACGACATTATTTTAGTTTTGGTTTTAATTGCTCCATCGTTATGGTATCTCACGCCCGTTAAGTTACCTCGTGATACTGTCAAACAGCGTCGCTAGTCATATTTCTTGGTGACACTCTTTATGCACGCACCTGGGCTTACCGGTTTACTCGCATGCTTTTTGACGGGGTACAAGAAAGGACTGCGCCCCTAAATGCTTAAAATAACATTCAGAATGCAGTAGTCTTTTGGTTTTAGGTACGTTGTCTGAATTTTTGTTGATCCACAGAATTGGCCCAACGTTTAACAAATTCTGCACAGTGTTGGCTAAATTTTGTGTTTTGGTTGTGTCATCCCATTTTTTATCCAACCTTGAGTAAGTTTTGCTCGTTTTTGATTAGAGTGTATTGAACTGTGCATTAGGAATAAAATAAAACAATAAAATGCAATAAAACTTGATACATATGCATGTATGTAGAATTTGACAAGTAGAAAATGTTAAAATCTCTTGCAACTTTATATGTACATATGTACATATGTCGTATTCGTGGCTTAACCGGATGTACAGCTTGAACCGAAACTATATGTTCACAATTCACCACTAATTTATTGTAAGGTACATAGATACAGTAAATTTATGAATCACAGTTAATGTATATGCAAACAGGCTTAGCTCATTCGTACATGAACACACAAACAGATCATTTATTATACATCTATATGTACATCCACCCATTACAGGATTACGCATTTCTAGGACCATTTAATGCATTTCTGCTTGGATTCCTAGCGCAAGAGAAGACCATCCTTTGCAGTTTATTTCCATTTTGCACAAAAATTTCTATACATTGTCTCTTTGGTAATCGTAAAATGGTAATGGTATTTCCAATTGAATTTGGCATTTCGTTTTTCTTTTGTGTTGTTATTTTGTTTTTATATTTTATCCTAATTACAGAAATACATGCATATGCATGAAAATATGTATGTAATAAACAAATAATTTTCACATAGATAAGTAACTATACCAATAATTTGTAGGTGTTTCAGTATTTATCATTATAGTCAAGATTAAACTTACTTTGTAAATGGCATTGTTACTAATATACATAAATGTTTATAACATACTTAATTTAGAATTTTTTTTACTTTACATATATTTTTAGGTTTATTACACGTTATGCATCAGTAAATACATATTTATACAAGTACATGCACTCTAAAAAATCTGGTAATAAATTCTTAATACCGCGTATTACCGCCTGGTGTTAAAATTAGGTATTACAATCAGCGGGAGTATGGTAACGATCTATTACCGTTTCTTCCACCAAGAGGTAGCAAAGACTACCAGCCTGTTTAGGTTGAGAGTCTCAATTCGTCCTCCACCACGGCAAGGCAGTATCTAGTCTAGTGCCAAAACTGGGTTGTTACTGCGCAGTAATAGCAGTATCTACCAGCACGGTAGAGTCATTTATGTTCACCGCCTGGTAATAAAATTTCTTAGAGTGTAATAACTCACTTTTAGTTACGCAATAAATCTTTAGAACATGTGACTAAAAATGTTCTCAAGTTTTCAAATAATCAATTATTTTTGAATTCTAGTAAAATTAAACCTTATGCACTGACACGATTGGGTCGTACGAGCTCGTACAGAAGTACACTCTCAAAAACGGGGTTACGATGGTAACCTAAAAGTAAACTTACAAAGTGCAGGAATGGCACGGAAAATTTGACGGGAAGGACTTTTCGAAATTATAATATATTTATTTTAGCTACATATATGTTAAAATTTATGGTAGTAAGCTGTGTAATACAAAAAAACTATAGTTACACAAATCCTGAAAACAAAAATGTTTTGGCAAGATATTTTGCCCATAAAACCTACATACGGCACACACTTCATTCAGCCCGAATAAGGGACAGAGTCCACTTCGAAATTTGCAAAATCTTTTACGACAGCCCGTAAAAACCTAATATTATTTTACGTAAAGAGGGATATAACTTTTTAGTTTTTCGAGGTTCATCTTTCTCCGAGAAATTAATCTTAATTAAGTCGGAATTAATTCCGAATTTCGAGGAAATTTTGTTAATATTCAATTTGCAATTAATCGATGTCATGCAATATTTTTCCGTCCTGAATTATTCTAATTCTGGAGATTTTGTTCGTCTTCATGAAAGCGAGCATAGTTTTCACTGTCCTTTGGCTCAACTGAAGAAAATTACAAATATGATTAAAATTTATAAATGATTAATTTGGCATTAATTAAATTAATGCTGATATCATAACATGAAAACTCACGTAAAACTGGCAAAGTTCGACCTCCTCCATTCCATTCATTGCGCTGAGAAGTTCCTTGAACAGATCGAGCTCGCCTTCTGTTAGATCAGAATACACGGAACACGACTCGTACTTCGTAATTTGAAACGTTTTGAGCTCTGAAATGAAGGTTGACACAAAAAAAATCAGTGTAGAAAAATTAAATATAATGTCAACCTTCGCATATCCCGCAAATTTAGCATAGCAGCATATGAATTTATTCTGTAACTTGCCCAGATTTGCGAGATTTCGTAAAAATTTTGGTAGAAAACCGTGAGATATCTTTTTGCAAATTTACTCAGTAATTCTACATGTTCTTAACTATTTCGTAAAATTATTTCGCAATGTCATCCTCACAATCAGGGTTCGGAAAACCCCGGGGTTTTTCTAGAAAACCCCAACCCCGTGGGTTTTTCCGGGGTTTTTGGGGTTTTTGTGGGTTTTTGGGTTTTTGTGGGTTTTTGCAGATTATGGGGCGGGGTTACGACCAAATTCCTAAAATTATATGTTAGAGTAAAATTAATTCAATATTCGTACTCAGCATGAAATTTGATGTGTTTTCATTGACTTGGATTTGTAAGTCAAAATGCAATGCTTAACATGTAAACCCAATAATAAACCAGGAATATGTAATGATACTTGAAAATTCAAGTCGCACATAAAATGTTCAAACTTTCCTGCTGAATCCGAAAATTTAATTCTCATTAACTTAAGTTGTAATTTAAGGGATTTTATAATCTTACAATCTAATCTAATCTAATCTAATTTATAATCTTATAATCCCCAAAATCTTACAAAAACGCCGGAAAAACCCACAAAAACCCCAAAAACCCCAACCCACAAAAACCCGGGGTAGCGAACCCTGCTCACAATAGGCAGCAATCCATGGAAATAATATCAAAAAATGTGTTTATTGTAGATTTACGAGATTTGCCGAGTCATATTTTTCCAATCTTCTCACGACACAAATATTTGCTGATATTCGTAAGTTTGCTAAGTAAATCAGGTGCGATACGAAATACTGAAGACATTAAAGTCGTGAATTGACACTATTTGTATGCAAATTTTAATTTGTTACAACCTGACAATTACTAATTGACAAATTTGACACTCACGGGTAAGCAAGTCCTTGCAATCCAAAAGAATCTTGATAACATCCACAATCTTCTCTGGATACCTTGGCAGCGCCAAATTCAAATGTTTCAACCCTTCCCATCCCAAACAGGCCGGTAGAACGAAAGGCAACTTCATCGTGGTGTTTAACCTGCGAAAGTCCGCAGCGTGCCGTGTGTCCACCGTGAGCTTCACCAAGTTAGGAAACGCCTCCTGCAATCCCTCCAAGAGTTGGGGATCGTGCAACTCGACAATCCGCAAATTCCGCAAGGTTGGCCAAATCATTTTCGCGGAACAAACATTTCGCAAAATTTTATTTACAAATCTTGGATGTCGATTTATATCCCCAATCAGCAAAGTTTCCATAGCAGACATACTTTCAAAGAGGTCGTCCGAACACCTAAAAATGTCGACCAGATCGTTGCGAAACAGCCGTAATTTCGACATCATTCTCGGCAACTTGAATCTGGTTGGGGGTATGTAATCGAAATTGCCGAACAGAGATTTCCCTTTGTACTCGATGACATTACTTAAAAAGCGGAGTTTGACCAGCTGGGTGGCTAGTTGGTTCAACATTCGCGAAATGGCAATAAGGTAATCGTCCCCCCGAGTGATGTCAGATAGTTGAATGTCATCCACCTGTTGGACATATATTCATTCATTCAATTGGATTAATTTTATGTAGGATATGCTTAGCTCCCACCCATGACCTAATACCCATGATCTTCTACCTGTAATTTTCCCCCACCCATAAACTCATTATCTCCTACCCGTAATTATCCCCCACCCGTAAACTCCTACCCGTTAACTCCTATCCGTAATTATCCCCAACCCGTAAATTCTTATCATAGGAGTTAATGGGTAGGAGTTTACAGGTGGGAGATAATTACGGGTAGGAGGAAATGGGTAGGAGTTTATGGGGATAATTACGGATACCTACCCGTAATTATCTCCCACCCATAAACTCCTACCCATTATCCCCCACCCACGAACTTCAACCCGTTATGTCGTCAATTCTGACTGATTCTCTGCGTTTTCGTATCAATATTTTTTTCCTTGGTATTAATATTTACTACACTATTCTTATAGTCATTTATAATCCTTGTGCCATCAGAGAAAGTGCCTCGCTCGAAACTTTCCGTGTGTAAATTGAACGAACTTTGGCTCTTTCTGACCAGTACATAAATACATACATACAACCAGTCTACAAACCAATCCGTTATGTGCTTATTTTATTAATAAGCAATAATTAATTAAGCTAAGGAGGGGAGCTTCCGAGGTTGCTAATAACAGATCTGCTTGAAATTTTTACCAATGATACTTTGGGATGAGTGAACCTTAACCCTTGAGGCTTTTGATGCCATGGCCATAAAGAGCTGAGAAATTAATTTCGAAAGTTTCAAATTTTCGGGTAGGGAAATGTATCAGATTACTGGGCACCTGTCCGCAAGATATCTCCAGAATAGATCAATATTTTTGAAAATTGATTTCGGCAATACATTTCTAGGGGGTGTGGTCAATACCTTTTTTGGAATTATTTTTTCTCTTTTCGCATGGATGGTACCCCATGGCACCCTACATCGTAAAAAAATTATTTAACCTAGCTACCACACCCCTTCAAGTCAGAGGGGTGTGGTTTCATCGAAACCACTAAAATCAAGACAACTGTTGAACTGTTCAATATTTTTAAATGCGGCTTTCAGCATATGGTAGCACAAGTAAAGACATATTGACGACCACACCCCCTCGCCAGCAGGGGGTGTGGTCGGGGCAAAATGAGACTTTTACTGATATGTAATTTATAGATGAACTATAGTAAAATTAATGTTCCAGCGTCGTGGTGCGTATGCTCAGGACGATGTAAATCATTGGAAAAATCAATTAACACTTCACCCGTCTGTCTGGTCGCAAGATATCCTGCGGTATATGTATCCAGGAGTCCTTGGACGGAACAATAATTTTGAAATCTGTTGTCGGGCTTCTGGATCCAATTAATGTGATGTAGTGCGCGTAGAAACTAGGGCTGCCAAATCCGTTCCGAATTTTCAAATCCGGATTTCGGATTATCCGGTTTCGTCTGGGCCCAAATCCGGATTTAAATCCGGATTTGAATTATTTATTGTTATTATCAAGTTCCTTGAAGTTTGAATGAGTTTGATAGATTTCGAATACTTCTTTACCATATTCAATCGAAATTTAAGCTGGTTTGAAATTTTCATCATGCTTTAAAATTTTTTGATCATGATGATAGTTTCTTGGTATATTTTTAAGTTGATGGACTAAAAAAATGTGTAATTTCAAAAAAGGTGAGTTTGATGTCGAATATAGTAAAGTAACTACCTGGGATGAATAACATGAATAAACGTTTGTTAATTTACACTTTTCCCAACAATTTGTATCTTTGCAGTTCATATGAAAATTAGTTTTTAAATTAAGGAAATCCGGATTCAGTCCAAAATGAAATCCGGATTTCGGATAATTCGAAATCCGAAAAATCCGGATTTTTCGAATTCGAAGTATCCGGATTTGGCAGTTCTAGTAGAAACCGTCATAATTTCGGGAGAGATTTAGAAAATAATGGGTAGGAGTCTGTGTGGGTTGGAACAATCCGGAAATCATGTTTTGTACATTTTATCTGAAATTCGCCTTATCAGATGGATTTCGTAACATACATTCCCTGAGATGTGAATAAATATTTATGCAATACTGAGGGTAGTCCACATCCGTGAAAACGTTTTTGACCTTTAATATCTTTGGCGCTAGTAGAAATTTTGAATTTAAATTTCTACAATTTGTTCACCTTATAGTCAGCATTATGGGTGCAAAATTTCAATTCTCTAGTCCAAATGGCGCCAGAGATATTTGCATACGAAAAAATAGTGCTATTCTAAAACTGCCCAAAACTGCATAAATTTTACGTTTCAGAATATTTTTAAAACCTTCTAGAATTGTGAATTGTTTGTGGAATTTTATGTGGGTGGTACGAAAATTTTTGGCATCTATGTGGCTTACTAACTCAAAATTTCCCAATTTTTTTAAATTCATTTCATACCAGGTGGATTTGTACAAAAAAAGTGTCAATAAAGTTTGTTTTTATAGTTAAATGGAATTTTATAAATCACAATAGTTGAAATGTTTTTATGTTTATTATTTTGGAAGTTAGAGGAGACATTACTGATGGAAATGAAAACAGATTTTGGACTACAAATGTTTAATTTCGTGTAATGGAGGTACTTGGGAAAAATTAGCGACATTTTGACAGTTTGGGGGCTGTTATAACTTTTACTCTGAAACTCTACCCAGCTATTTTTTATCAAAATTTAAACTGCATTGTGTACTACAGACATGGGCTCACACAATTTGCTATTTCCTGGCATTTCTAGCCTATCAGCAACTGCTCCATGTCTTCTACCCGGGTAATTTATGTCTGAAACAAAAAAACATCATTGTTTTACTGTGGGGTTAGTTGAAGGTCTGCTTTTTACACTAGAGAATTGAAATTTTGCACCCATATTGCTGACTATAAGGTGAACAAATTGTAAAAATGTCAATTCAAAATTTCTACTAGCGCCAAAGATATAAAAGGTGAAAAACGTTTTCACGGATGTGGACTACCCTCAGTATTCATTCGTCCAAATGTTTTTAGAAAATTGATCACTCATTGTTCATGAATTTTTCACCCACCGCTATGGTCAGGGAGTCGAGATCCTTGCAGTTTCCCAATTCTGGACAGCATCCCCAGGGAAGCGTGACCTCGCGCAAATTTGGCGCCACGTGCACAACCAGGTGCGTCAATTTGGTGAGAAATGGAGCCACCGCATCCAAACTTCTGACCACCAACTGCGTCAAATTCGGTTTTGGTTGCAGCGATACGCACAAAACTTCCTCGGAATGGGAATATACAAATGTGTGAAAAATTCGAAATTGTTTCAAATTTGGACAACCACTTTTTAAAATTTGATAAACGGCTGGTAGAGAGCTCTCGGATCTGATCATAATTTTCAAAATTTCTACCCGGTCGGAAAACTTGTCACAAAGGTGGATCAATTTGGATTGTAATTCGTGCTCTTGATAGATTTCAATTTTGGCGCTAATTCGTTTCGCGAGTCGGTCGTCTATGAAATCGAAAAAGGGGGAAATTTCGTACTTAAGGGAGAGCGCGAGTCTCGTATTTTGAAGGGAGAGGACGATTTCATTCCAAAAATGGGACACGTGTCGGGCAGCTTTTAGCGGGGCGGATTTCTGTTGCAAAATTTGTGACAAAATCTGTAAGTTTTAAAAGGTTCAAATACAGTTTCAAATTTCGTAAAATTTTTTGCATTGTTTTGAACAAATTATTCGAGTTACGAAGTATCTACTGTTCAGCCGATATTAATAGTCTCAATTCCTTGGAAATTTTTCTGAGAGGTTATTTTTTTTGAACATAATATCAATTATGTGCCAGGAAACGTCTCAGAACTTTTCATACTAATAATATCGGCTGAACAGTAATGTGCAGATGTCGGATATGAATGACCGATAAAACCTCCAAATATGAATGAAAAATGACCGTTAAAATCCCCAAAATATGACCATAAAAACGATTTTATTTTTTTAATTTTTGGCTTAATTTTTTGATATATTTTCTTGTAATGCTCATTTTTTATCAAATAAACAAGTTCTGGGGTGATTTAATGCATTCCCAATGAATTAAATCGCTTGAGGCGGAAGTGAACGTAAATTTCTGAAAGTTTCTCACAATGAATCATTGTTAGAAAACTGAATTGTTTGTCATTTTCTGTCGAATTGGTTGCCAAATCTTAGAATTTGGCCTTTAGAATTTGGTGTTGAACCGATATTAACAGTCCCAATTCCTTAGAAATTTTTTTGAGAGGTTATTTGGCTTTTTGGAAAAAAAATATCAATTATCTGCCAGAAAACCTCTCAGATTTTTTTCAGACTATTAATATCAGCTGAACAGTAATGTGTACATACTTACAATCGGATTATTTAGTGCGAGCTCCAGAGCGTTTATTTTCTTTGGAGGAGGCTCCATTATAAAAATCTAGACAATATGTATTATTGTTAATTTCGGCTAATTTTTTGTCTTATTTTGCATATATTTAATTTGCAATTGGTATTCTTATATATTTTTAAATAAATTTTTTTATTTGGGACCTGCCAGTATTCGATACTTGTCAATGTCCAATTTTATGAAATTGCTCCAGTTTAAGTTAAATATGTGAATTGAAATTCACCACGGAATAAATAGGATGTCTTTCTTTTTGTCGGGAATCCCGACTCGGGATCCAGATGCGGACTGGACCCTATTTTCCTTTCAAATGTTTGCGTTTAGGGCCGTACAAACAATATGTGCCTTGATTTTGGGGATTGGTCAAAGTTAAGCAGGTCAAATATATGTATATTTGTAGCAGCGGCCTAATGAAGCTAAAAGTGGAAATGGGGTCCAACAAACCATAACATCTTTTATGTACGGTCCATTATCCCCTCGAACCGAAAACCCTTTCCCCTTTTCAGGCTAAAAGAACTACATATCACTCACATTAGAGCTCTTTAACCGAATGTATGTACATATGCTCACAGATTTTAATCAAACAGTGTCAATCGATTACACACATAATTCAAATGAAATTTGCAAAACATAATTCTCAGGTTGGGGGGACATTTGTATTTGCATCCAAGGATAAAAAGCGCAGTAAACTTGGTTACGTTCTTGCGTCTTTGGATGCAAATAATATCTTACCAATCATGAGCACTGACAGGTTTACACAATATTTTGGTTTGGTTTTAGTTTACTCATTATTCTTTGAGCATGCATCGCGAGTCTAGAGGTGAAATGGATATCCATTTTATCCAATCCATTTGGAATCCAATCCATGGATATGGATTGGATTGGATAATCAGAGATCTGGATTGGATTGGATGGATTTTCGGTTGTGGAAAAATTATGAATTTTCACTGTGACTTTCTGTATAGAAATCATAACCAGGACATTATGTTATTCTAAATATTCTAAAATCTGTGTATTTATCTACGTATATTTTTAACTTAAAGCAGGCGGGTGTATTGCTGGTTTGGTCGGTAACATATTGGCATTTGAAAGGAGAGCCAAATTCACTAATGTTGGCATCTAGTTTTTGCCTGTCGATTGGCGGTCATATAAACTAGTTTTGTTATATTAAAAATATAACGACATTTAATAATAGGTGTATATATCATGGCAGTGTTTTTTAAAATATAGTTTTGCTGATTTTGTAAATATTATATCCATGTTTTTACACTGGATTCTATTGGTTTAATTTAAAACTAGTGCTGGATAATATAGATTTTTTGTTTTTGGTTTGAATTGGATTGGATTTTTAATGGTTTGAAAGTTATGGATTGGATTGGATATTTTTCTTACAAAATTTCGCATGGATTGGATGGATTGGATAAATCCAAATGGATTATGGATTGGATGGATTTTTTACGAAGAAATTAAAAATGGATTGGATGGATTGGATAAATCCAAATGGATTTTGGATTGGATGGATTTATCGTTTTAGTAATCCATTTCACCTCTACGCGAGTCATCCACTCAGTTTTACTTGGATTACTTTAAACGTTAATCCAGTTTCAACCCCATTACAAAGTTTGACAAGTTTGGTGAATAATGATAAATTGAAACCGAAATATTTTCACCCCTGATTTTCTATATAGCCCAAAAAATTGTGAAATAAATGCGCCAGGGTATTAGCTCCTGGTTGCGATGGTCGCGGTTCTCCCTTCCGTTTTCCCGGCCTGGCCTGTGTCGCAACCGTTAGGAGTAAAGATTATTCCCAATATGACGAAAATTTTTAAATATATGATTAGCATTAAGATGAAAATATTATATTCATGTAATGACATGGGCTGCAGCCATCGTTTGAAGAAATAAACATTGAATTGATTTTATAACTCGGTAAAAGTTTATTGTTGGAATATTAACATAAAATTTCTCATTGAAGTCACTTCCGAACATGTGCTTACTACCGTTTACTTTTTCCACCAACGACCTGTACGATTTCCACCAACCCCTGCGTCCTTACATTTTGCTGCCCAAGCCCTCGTGAACTGCTTCAAGTCTTCCTTGCTCAAGTCGACCTTGTCAAGTAGCCCATTATTCGATATCTCCATCCAATTACACACGCCAAAATTGAACGCGACATCACGCAGATTCTGGAAGAGAAATTTCTAAAACGTTTTGCGTACTTGATAATAACTAAATATCCAAATTAACCCTACTTTCGCTTGGCAGTCTCTAGCCGCCTCATAAATTGTGAGCACATTTTCCAACGTCATCTGCTCCTGCAAAACTGATTCACATTTTCTCATTAAACCATTCTCACAAAACGTGACGCCCAGTTTCATCAAATCTGTGTCAAAAACGAAAGGCCAGTTGAAGATCGTCTTGTATAATTTAATAAAAGTTTGGGGTCGGCCATATATTACGTCAAAATTTTAGTGGGTGGGTGGCTTATCTTTTACATGTTAAAATTCGATATCCCTGAATGTATTCCGTTGGTGGGTGGGTGGTAGCAATAATCGAAAATTCTTCAGGACGTAATATATGGACGACCCATTTTTCATACGGTACCTAAAATTTTATCAACTTCCGCATCCGAGAAATACAAGTTTCCAGTGTAGAGACAGTACAGCAATGCGTAGAAAGTGTCCCGTTTCATATCGTGCAATTCAATCGGGCTAAAAATTGATCCAACTTTGTAAATAATGCAAATGCAATTATAAAATCGTTATTTTCTAAGGCACCTTTCTTGCTGCTTCCAATCGTTTGAAAATTTCCTTGAGAAGTATTCACTTCGCGAGACAAGCACATATTTATGAGCCTTGATCAGGTCCCCGTCCACTTTAAATGCCACGTCGGTCCCTGCCCCGTCCTTGAATTCAATTTTATCATATTCTTATTGGGATTTAACCAGCTTACAAATTAATTCTCTTACTATCACTGTTATCTGCGTTCCTGGGATGGTGCCAGCATCCTCTGCATAGTCTAATGCACATAGGGATTTGCACATACTTTGTCGCATCCCCTTAAACAAGGTAGGGTGGTGTGGAAAATTTGACAAATTATTCTCCACTTCTGTTGGCTTACTACAAATGATTGCGTCATGGATTTGGCCCCAAACATAAACTCTATCCGCAGCCTTGGCGGAACTTTGGCTAATGAACGGTGTGCAAGAAATGTCATCGAATATTCCTAAATCTCCAGATAACTTGGTGGGCACGGATAAATATGTGGTATTGCCGGTGCCCAATTGCCCATGTCCGTTATAACCAGAAACATAGATCTCCCCAGATGTGGACAGTAAAAGTGTGTGTGCACTCCCATTTGCTATCTATTAATGTGTTTTACAATTTTGCTAAACGAATAAACTTGAATAAATATCCATTAATTTGTTCACCTTTTTTATAGGTTTGTCAGTTATTAATTTAGTTGGTACGTTGATAGATGTGGTATTTTCTATGCCTAATTGGCCATAGGAATTACTGCCCCACGTGTACACCTTAATATAAAAGTAAGATATTGACTTAAATTTATTATCTTATAATTAGAATCTTACGTCTCCAGATTCGCTCAATGCGAACGAGCTAAATCTGCTGCAAGAAATTTGTTTGACGCTAATGCTCCCAAGATTTGTCGTGACTTTACAAGGTTTGTTTTGATCGGTGTTGTTTCCTAGGCCTAGTTGGCCATAATTATTTCTACCCCATGAAAACACCGCGCCCGTGTCCTTTGTTAAAGCGAGAGTGTGCTCATATCCCACCGTAATTTTATCAATTTTCACACCGTCGTCAAACTTAACTAAAGAAGGGGTAGACATTAATGCGTCATTCGTTCCAATCCCCAGTTGGCGATGCTTATTATCACCCCACGCGAAGACACGTCCATCCTCGGTTATTGCGAAACAAGAACATATTCCTTCATTCCAACTAATGACGAAGTCTACCAGGAGGAGTACGCACATTTTATGTGAGCTGCAATTTTCAGAAACACATATTTATGACTGTATTACTCTCACCTTTAACGGCTTGTCCACAAAGGGGGTCGATTCTGACAGGTATGGCCGTCTTTGTGATACTGCCGCAACCAAGACATCGTTTGAGTCCGGTTCCGAACCCGTATACATCATCGTCCGTGTTCACAAGAAATCCAAGGTCTACGAAGGCATGAGCGAGACGAACATTTTGCAAAAAACCGTCGCCGATGGTGTCAAAAAGTCTCCATTTTCTCAATTCCTTGAGAGGAATTGTTATCTGGGTAAGTTGGAATGTTCTCAATTCGACTAATTCACCCATAATTTTCCAATTTGTATTCGAATTTATTTAACGATGTTAAATAATGCAATAATTTGAATGAAGAGGAATTGAAGTGTGTAATGGAATGTACGAGTTTTTGTGCTGATATCAGACATAGCTCGATGATAAGGCCCGTTTTATCTTATCGCTATCACGGCTTGCAAAACTAATTACTTACGTCACAGTGAAGAATTTTGTTTGCGAAAGTCTGACAAAAAACGTGATAAGACAAATATACAAAGCAAACGTGTAACCAACATGCATAGATGCAATATATAGACACACGAAATTTGCATACAATCCGACATGAATACTTATAAAAACTAATGCAACCCAATAAGATTTATAAAACCCTCAAAAACCCACTAAAACCCTTGGGATATTACTTTTTCATTAAAAACCTGGGTTTTTCCGAACCCGGATTGTACCTTAAGTTTCTTGTTCACTTACATACATATCTGCCGGTTGTGAATTCTGAGATTTTTTTGCAGAAATATATATGATCTGACTTATGCTGCTAAATTGTTATATGTATTTCATGGTTCGTTATTTCGCTGCGTAGCTAATCGGTTAATTTTCATTGAGAAATTAAGATCAAGTTATTCTAAAAAGTAAAAAAGAAACGTGTGGTGGAATCTACAAAGCTACATAAATATGTAAATCAACTTGCTTGGGTGAAGCTTTACCAGCTGAAAATACGTGAAGAAGACCTTTACAACTAGCAGGTCAACATTGTTGTATGGATGCTTCTTAAACTGCAGATTTAGATAAAACGTACTTTAATTGCTGGGCATGGTTTATTTAATTGCCAACAAAATACGAAATATATGATATCCAGGAAGCATTTAAAAATCGTTTGTATGTATTCATTAAATTATTTGGTATGTATGCACATATTATAGATTAGATTTAATTTAAACTGGAACTGATTGATTAATTGAAACCAATCTTCGCTCGGGCCATTATCCCATGCAAGATATAAAAATCTGGGTCTTCCAAGTTCTACCCCTTTACGCAATCTGTGCTTCAAAATGTAATAAAAATGCATTTATTACTTTAACTAACAATAAGACACCGATGCAAATATTAATTCACATGAAAATTAACTTTAAGTAAATGCAAAGTCTTTTGGTTACATCAATTTTTTCACAATGTCTATTTATTAACCTGACCTACTTTGTAGGTGGTACATATTTGTATTCACGTCAAATCATGTTTAAATTGTTCATACCCTTTGTAACCCTTCATTGTACGACGTAATTGACATTCTTTAAGTTCTCATTCATTTATCTGTAGATAAGCACAAGTTAGGAGTACATATATGAATGTCGGAATATCTGGCACGTATTTACACAATTTAAGCCGGTTTTGGCAGGTTTGACTAGTAAACAGGTACCGGAATTTGATGACAATGTAAATGTGTTTTAATTTGCGTATGTAAGTTCTTACAAGTCTGCACTGTGGGTCACGATATTTTTTGCAGGTTTTAACTTCACCCTGTATCTGTCTTGCTTTCGTCGGTGACGACAGTTAAGACTTGGATTTCATAATATCAAACCGTTAATGCCAGGTGAATAGGTTAAATCGTGGTAGAATTTGCGGAGTTAAAAAATGGATTCAACATTACCGGTACGTTTTAGTAACTTAGAGAGACTTAAGATTACAGAGTTATTTACATACTCCTAATTTGATCAAATACATACATACACTCAGAATAAAATGTAAGCAAATTGCTACTGGGTGGTGTCTATATATGACCTCACCGGTTTGGTAGCGATTTTCTACGGAATTGTAGTAAATTCGCTACCATCTTGTAGCATTTCCTTATCCCGCTGTTACGGTTAGTCAAAATGTGGTAGCAAATTTACTACAATTTAAACAGGTCGTGCACGATTTATTATAATTTTTTTGACACGTGGTTACATTTTGTATCCTCTGAATAGTGGAGAAGGCCGGGAATCGTAGGAAGGTCGACAGTACCTGCAGCCCGGACAGTGCCTAAGAGACCCTTGGCATGACAAAATGGACAAATTCCTACTCAGCTACTACATCGCGCATCAGTACGGCCTTTATGGGATTAGTCGGAATGCACATTTAAATCAAGAGATGAAGATCACCAGCCACCCAGTTGTTAATGGAGGTATTACGAAGCAACTTCTATTACCTTCTTACATTTATTTATTCCACAGAGAATGAATAAGTTGTTCACTCACCCATTGTTCAGTGAACTTGCGAATATGCAGTGAGTGCATAATTTTTGAATGAATGAATATTTATTTCGCATTCATGTCGAATGAATTAAGATTTTAATTCATTACTCATTTTTCACTGTATGCTAAGGATTCGTAAATGGAGAATATTGCGGAATCCATTTCCACCGAATCCATTTCGATTTCCAAAAATTGCGAATCCACCACTCACGTTGGAAGAGTGAACTCGAGAGCAACACATTCTTTTCTGCTCTCTCTCTATTATTTTTTGTTTTAAAAATTTGGGGTTTTTTCGACACCCCCAACGCCGTAATTAGTGTCATCCTCTCCCTATTGACCCCAACAAGAAAGTGGTAGATGAATTTTTTCACCTCGACCGTGTCTGACCGTTCTGTGCAACTGCCGGCCTCACCCCGTTCCTGCTGAAGTGGACTGTTCCAGATGCAAATTCTGCTCTCTATTCCACTCGTACTTCTTCTGAGGGGATTCCCGCTTATACACGGAGTGTCCTCTACGCCCCCAAGTGCTCGGTCGGAGTTTGAGACCGTGCGGTTGTCTGCCACCTAGCCGCTCTGTTGCACGTAAAGGGCCTTATTAAGGCGAGATCCGATCCTTTATTTTAGATATCTGTTCATTTATGGTTCACCTTTTCTCTGATTATTGCATAGGCGCAGCCACTGGGTGGGCAGGGTGGGCAAAGCCCACCCTGGAAAATCCCAGGGTGGGCACTCAATGCAAATGCCCACCCTCAAATACTCCCAAGTACTGATAGGGTTTAATCAGCGTTTTTTACTGGGCTTACATAACTTTTAATTTAGAAATATGCCGAAATTTATTCTTCCAGTGTAATTTTTTAGTACCTTTACAAATTCTTTATCATTCGCAACAAGGTTTTGAATTTCGAAATCATTATTCCACGATTTTCGGAATGCAGTAAAATAATTTTACACAATTTTGACGTAAATGTTTTTCAGGTACAAAATTCATCCTCCTCACTCGACTTAAAAATCATAAAGAGACAATATTAGAAATTATCTTACAACTATATTTGTAATCATGAGTTTTAAAGACATGAGACATGTGACGTGAGGCAAATATTAGGAGTTCAAAATTATGAGTTAATTTTTATTGGCATTGACAGGCTAAATAGTAACGAAGTAAAACTACAGTTGGGAAAGCTGAAACAATGCACAATAATTGGTTGCTGATCTTGCAAATTTAACTTATAATGCAGGTCTTCGGTATGTAAGTACTCAGATTTAAATACAACCAATTTTATTTTGTTCAGCACAAGAAATAAGAATACCCATGTTTTTTAGTTTTCAGAATGCGCTATAAAGTATCGACCAAGCTCCTTCGCCCTAAAATTTAGCGCGATTTCCGAATTTTAATCGGTTTACCAGACATAACCTCGGCTTTTTAAAATCCTTAAAGCTTTCGAGTTTTATAAAAAATTCACAAATTCGAAAACAGGTTTCTTCAAAATGATTTCTTGATGTTAGTGTTTCTCAACGGGTACGAAATCCTTCATCCGAACCCAAACCCGATATCTTCTACCCGAATCCGATATGTACCCGAACCCGATAATCCGATATGTTTGGGGAGAGATCCGAATCTGAACCCAAACCCGATAGGTTCTATCCGAACCCGAACCCGATACCCGATAAGAACCCGATAAGTATAAAATACCTTCATAAGCTCATCTGTATATTAACTTTTTGCCAATTATTGTTCAAACTGTGTTAATAACAAATCACAACTATGAGCTCCAATTTTATAACTTCTATCTTTTGTCAAAAAAGAAACCAGCCTTCTACTGCGTATATTTTGTTCTTCCACTAATATTAATCAGTCATAGATATTATTATACATATTGTTGTAATATTTGTGGAACCCTCATAAAATAGGTAACTCAAGAAAAGAAGAAAGAATGCGATTAGGTCGCCAATTTCAACCATGTCAAAATTCGTATCCCATAATGTCATAATGCGTACATGGAGAGGGAGGACCCAGAAATAGTTTAAATTTGGCTACATATTTTATGAATGTTCCATTAATTGAATGGCATCAGTTATGATAAACAACTCGCAATGTTTATAAAAGTTATTGGCAATTAAATCTTATCGTTCAATTTGTTATCGGGTTTTCGGATTTTCCGAAGGTAAATCCGAACCCAAACCCGACAACAGACGGATACCGAAAACCATATCCGAATCCGAACCCGATAAAGACCCGAAACCCGATAACAACCCGAACCCGTTGAGAAACACTACTTGATGTATTTAAAATCCGCTGAAATTTAAAGTTTGGAGGAGTTATAATATTTATAAACGTCGGAAACAAAAAAAAACATGAAACTTAAATTTCATGGGAATTTTATTTTTACGACATAAATCTGACAAGCTCTTCCGATGAAATATCAAAAGGATCAAAAATTAAATAATTTTCAGGATTTTGAAAACCCGAAGTTCTGAATGGAAAACCGTTTATGTATAACCGAAAACCGTTTCGTTATTAAAACCCCTATTGATTTACTATTGAAAACTCACACCGAGGGGTTTTGTATAGGTTTTTGTGGTAGTCGTAGTAATCGGGGAAAATGGGTTTAATCGCAAAAGCAGTAATCGCAAAAGAACTTTTACAAGAAACCCTTACTGTAGCGAGCCCAGTTTATAAAATTTTGAAAAAATAATTACATCACTGAAAATCAATGAAATTCTACTCATTCGCGAATAAGAAACACTATTTGCTTTTTAACATTTCTACGTCATTAAGCGAGCCTGGAGTCTGGGTGTCACCTTAGGGATAACGGTACGCAGTTCCAAGGGATATTAGTGGTACTTCTAGACGACATATTTTTTTCGGACTCCAAACCTATATGTGTTTTTGCACATGTATCTAGCTTGAGTTTGGACCATATAGCGTATTCCAGAAGGTTGAGATTCGGCGATGATGAATTTTATTCTTCGTTCGAAATGGATGCAGAAATTTTTTATTTCAATCACCCATTTACTATTTTGGCATGATGAGCATTAACTGAGGATGAGCTTTCCTTAAATGTTCAGAGGCTATCTATATTATAAGCTGGAAATGCTTGTTGGCAACGGAAGTGAAAGTAAATGTTCTATAACGGAAGTGAAAGTGAAGAAAGTCAAGTTTCAAATGGCGCGAAAATTCAAAAGTCTTTATTTAAAAAAATATATTTGCGAATGTGTGGTTATCGGGTCGTTGATGAATTATGGTGGTTATACATGATGTGGCGGCCTGATGGTGGTTATCGGGGCGTGGCGGCTTGGTGGTGGTTACGTTAGGAGTGGTTATCTGATTGTGGTTATCTTGAGGGCTTTCTTATGGTGGTTGTCTTGAAAGTGGTTATCTGGTGGTGGTTATCGGGGTGTGGCTGCTGCATGGTGGTTATCGGGGTGTGGCTGCTGCATGGTGGTTATCGGGGTGTGGCTGCTGCATGGTGGTTATCGGGGTGTGGCGGCCCGGTGGTGGTTATCGGAGCGTGGCGGCCTGGTAGCGGTTATGTTAGGAGTAATTATCTGATTTTGGTTATCTTGGGGGCTTTCTGATGATGGTTATCTGGTGGTGGTTATCAGGGTGTGGCTGCCTCACGGTGGTTATCTGGGAGTGGTTATTTGATGGATTGTCGTTTGGGTGTGGTCGCCAATGCAGATCATTGCCAATGGCGGACTAGGCTGGTAAAGATGGCAGAGCCAAGTGGGTGCCAGACAAACTGCCAGTGGCAATAGCAGTGCCACTGGCAGACTGGGCTGGAAGAGACGACTGAGCCAAGTGGTGGGTGACATTTAATTTTCCACTTTCACTTTCAGCTGCAAATTTCTTTCACTTCCGTTGGCGTCAAATTGTATTATTAAATAAATATCTACAAAATATTTAATTGGCGAAACTTTGATAATCTAATCATCTCTCGCCCGGCGGGAGACGGGCTTATACGCTAGTTTTGTATATGTTTGGGTGGCTCAGAGGTTCCACAATTCGCTGGAAAACTTCAAAAAATATTTTTTGACACGAAAGTTTACCCCCAGATGAAGAAAAATCAATTTTCTGACCAAATCCAAGTTACGTCCCATAAAAAATCACCGAAGCAGGATGGTGGGTCTGATTAATGTTTTTGAATTTTTTTCTAAATAATATGGACTGGTGGGGTGTAGACACGATCCTTCTGCTTATTTTGCCTCAATTGTGAAAGTTTGCTCATCTTTTAAAAATGTTTGTTTTTATTTTCACGCGCGTATCGCATGATCAGCCCCAGACTTCTGAAGGGTCTATTTTTACTTGGCGTAAAGTTCGCAAGTGTTTCTCCTCACATCTTAAAGACATAAGTCCAATGTTAAGTTTACGGGCCCGAAATATTTAATTTCGACTTGCAATGCAAATGTCAGACATGCTTCTCAAGGATCTTCTTAAAACCAGGACTAAAAAATCATGGAACAAAACATAAACAACAGTTGATGTGACACTTGGGCACTTCTGCAGAATTCACGGAATGGCGAAGGTTTTAAATAAGTTGGGGAAAACTCGTATTTTCACAATGCGAAACTATACGGAATTCACCTCTCCGCGTCCCGATTTTCTCCGAAGTGCTTCTCTTCGCCAGATTAGCGGTTTTCAACTTCATGCAAAATTCAATTTAGTAATTTCTTAACCAAGTTCTCAACCGATTTTTCAACGATTTTCCGAACGATTTTGCATCGTTGGATTTTAAATATTTTTTTAACACATTTAAAGTATTTGGATTCAATTAACTTCTTAAAGGAAACATCCATTAGAAATAGGTTCAGAATAGTTGATTTTTTGTGTTTCAATCACATTGCGTGTTTTTATTCATAAACCTATTTATTATCATATGTGTGATAAGCACGAACATCACACAATGACATAATTTTTTTTGTCATGAAAGGGTTTAAAAAAAGCTATGCGAAAGAAATAAAAAATAGAATGAACTATTCTTAACCAATTTTTATTTTAGTTTTTCACTGGTAAGAAATTAATTGAATCTGAATCTAAATATTCTAAATATTATTTCAAACTTTGAAATTCAAAGTGCTAAAATTATTTCAAATCCATCGATGAAAAATCGTTCAGAAAATCTTTAAAAAATCTTACGAAAACTTGTTGGAAAATAGATAAATTCGATTTTGCCTAGGTGAAAACCGATAACCTGGCGAAGAGAAGCGCAGGAGAAAATCGGAACGCGCGGAGGTGACCTCCGTGTGGTTTAGCATGGTCAAAATGCGAGTTTTTGGCAATTTAAAACCTTCGCCATTCTGTGAATTCTGCAGAAGTGTTATACCAACTGTTTGAACTGTTGTTTATGTTTAGTTCCATGATTTTTTAGTGCTGGTTTTAAGAAGATCCGTGAGAAACATGTCTGACATGCATTGTTAGTATTTTAGATTTATTTTATTTCATGAAAGAGAAAAATCAAAGTTTAACATAGTCTCGTAACTTTGCAATTTAAATTGAAAACTATTGATTTTTAGATACTGTAAATCTTCATTTAAAAAAATGATCGGCGATGACATTTTAAAATCACCATTTGAACACAGAAAAGGCCCAGGTTGAGAGACAATAATTTATATTATATGCCCGCATAAATAGCACGCTAGATAGCAAGGGTGCTATTTAAACCACGTTAAACCAGGTTAAATAGCACATATCGTCCAAAAGCTCCAGCTAGTAAAGTTAAAAGCCCTATATAAATGTATGATATTTTCAAAAAAGTGCCCACCCTGGAAAAAATCCGTGGCTGCGCCTATGGATTATTGTATGGTTTTTTTGTCGGGCCCCGTGACAATATGACAAAACTGATGACCGTCGATGAAGCTGTAATACTCGCGCATCCCTCAACCAACGCAATAGTCCTGATAGGCGGGATGGCTGATGAGGAAAACAGCGAAATCGACAACCTACTTAATTTCGAATATTGGGACGACGACCAAGCTTTGGGACCAGACTGTCACCTCTGCGGACAGGAAATCATCGACGTCTCATCTCCCTTTATACACAAAGGAACAAACTACACTGTACTTTTTCAAGATGACCTTGCTGAATCTTGTGCGAATAGTGGAGCATTGCAATGTGTATACTGTTTAAATTTCTTTCATAGAAATAACTGCAATTTTAAACTTTCTGACAAATCTTTTTGCAACATATTCTTTCTAAAAACTGGGCCTGCCCTAACTGTGTTCCTGTTTTCAAGAGCAAATTGATAATTGTAACTAATAGTAATGACAATAATTTTGTTAATTATGGAAAATTAATGCGCAAATTAGTGAAATTTCTTAATCCCTTACGCAGTCAATATAATGAAATAATTTACACAATCAATTGTTTTAATCATAATTACGATTTATGTATCAATAACTTTAAGCAATATGAAGTGGGATAAGGATATGAATATATCTGATCTGTATTTATACTGGATTACACTTTGGACCTCTTTACTTGGAATTGTATTTTGTTTATGATTATGATCACCTGCTGATTTATCTTTACTTGTTTTTTATATTAGAATAGTTAAATATATGGTATATTGACCAGTGTGTCACCAATGGTAGACCATTGTTGTTGTACTTGTACGATGTATGCAATGAATTGGGAAAGACACAGTAATAAAGATATACATACATACATACATACATACATACATTTAATAAAGGGATTTTGAGACAAAATTAGTATAAAAAAATGAGTAACGAATACTTAAATAGTTATTTTGAATAAATGAAGAATGAATGACTAATTTTTTCCTATTTTTAAATTGAAGAAATTTTAAATGAAGAAATATTTTTTATGAACAGGGTTGCGACCACCACCGGAATGATTTCAGTCACCGCATGGTGCGCTCTCCCGATAATACATAATACGACCCACTCGTTCCGTAAGTATAGGGCAATACGGGGTATTTTCTTGTCCCTCATGTTTTTCGGAAGAACTATTATGCATCAATAGCATACCTGTCAACAACTTTTCTTCATTTTGAATTTATTAGATTTAAGCACAAAAAAAAATTATTCATTATTTATTTATTCAAAATTTGGAAATAAATATTTATTCATTATTCCTCATTTATTTTTTTTCATTTCATCTCCAAACACGCCTTACTATCTTCACGACTTCATCTTCCGATTTTCAATATTTGCATTTGTGTACATACATACATATGTAAATCAATGTTGCAAAGGGCATATGCAAATGATTTATCGATATCTTCTGATAGCTTTTTTGACAGTACGTTGACCACCACTGCCACCATCATATCCGAAACAGCATAACTTCGGTGTCAGAGAAGACCCAGAAGCTGTCGGGGTGTTGGCAGTTGTTACAGGATCGGTGGTATCATTTCCTCCCAATCCAAGAAGGCTTTCCCCTACGGCGAAAGGTTGTGCCATTACTGTGCTTATTTCTTTTCCCTTGGATGTCTTCACAGCAGCACTTTCATTTTTTAAAGCTTCCAAAAATCCGTCAGGCTTTGATTCTGGGACAGAAGAAGCTGGAACCGAAATGGGCATAGAATGTGAAGCAATTGATTCTATTGGTTTTACAGATGGAGCATTCTTTGGTGCTGGGACATTCTCTAATGATGCAACTATTTTTTGTTCAGTATCTGCCATACGACTAGGTTTTACTTCAATTAAATTTTTATCAACTCCAGACTCAATCAAATTTGACCCTGAAGAAGACGGCGGTTTAAATACAAAGGAGGGATGAACCGCAAGGATGGCGGGACTCTTTTTGTCGACACTGTTGTCCTTGTACTGAATCCGGGTCTCATTCGGCTCACTCGTCGATGTTGATGCTACAGTGTTATTAAAGCCAAAGTTAAATCCACGGAATGGAGAAACCTTCTCCATTTCTAACGGAGTTTCTACTTGTGAAGTTGCTGCAGGTGCTAGTTTAATTGGGGACGCCGAAGAAGGAGGAGCTAGCTTCTGTCCCGATGAAGATAACCCTTTTAAGTTCAAGTCCTCTACAATGTTTGAACTTTTTGCTATGCAACGTACACATGCCGCACCGGTGGCGTCGTTATCCGACATGCACACCTGGCAGGATCTAACAAGGATAATGTAATTATAAGAATTAAATTAATAGCGACTCTCAGCTCATTTTTCTCGCTTAGAATTAGTCGCTCTATTCAGACTCACAGTTGGACAGCGAATTCTCTATTTATTCCATTTTTGCTTTAAAATCAACTCAACTTTGGTTACATTCATTCTGTAGAAAAAATGGAAAAAGTACAATCAGAGTAATCTGAGCCTAAAAAAACTGGAAAAAATCATAAGCGAGACAAACTTATTTGTTAGGCTTATTTGGGAGTCGTTCTTATAGAAAAATTCATGTCCATGCTAGGTTTAAACTATTTATGAAAAGACGAATTGTTTTTATTGACTTACTTGCTGCCAATCTTTTTATCCACGGTTGGTTCAGGTTTAATTTTCGGTTCAGCACAAGGCGAAATTTTTAATGGGTTTGTATCCTCATTTACAGTTTTATTTGATTCTGCATTCTGTGTCGATTTTGGGGCCTGTTTTCAGGATAAAAGGTTTAAACCTTTAACGGTTTGACATGTAACGTTTGAAAATGTACAATCAAAATTATGCTAATTGAGTAATATGTGCGTGTTGTCTCCATAAAATCAAAGTGACGGCATAATTGAATATTTATCTATAATGTGTATCGAGGGCGTAGATATATTTAAGTTTAGGGTTGCCCCGGGTACCGGGTAGTTACCCGGTACCCGGCATACCCGGCCTGTTTTGGGGTACCCGGTACCCGGCCGGGTATACTTAAGTACCCGGTATACCCGGCCGGGTAATTTAAATATTCAATTTTCTTGCTTAAGATGGCAAACCTTACAAAAAATATGCATAATCCGATGGATTTCATTTTTTTACTTGGTATAAAATAATAAACATATTTGGAAAGAATGTGTACAACTTTGGCCAACACTTATTTGGAAATTATCATATAAATTTTAAAATTACTTTGAGCGCACTCACGTCAAAGAATTATCATTCAGTCAATTTGCATATCTCGCACATTAAGCATAACTTTTATTATTTAACATAAGATTATTTCGACTCATTCTCACGATCATCAGCGAGAGAAATTGCGAACACCCAAAACAAAACGATCAAAATAGACGTCTTTGGTTGATTTGCGAGAATTTAGAAGTGCTATCAATCTTTCTAATCGATTCGCAGGATATAACCTCGAAAGTCTCGCAAGATTTGTTTTGTGGGCGGATTCGATACCCCACAAGAAAGTATGTTTTTAAGCCTCGCAAGTTTGCAAAATGATTGCGATGATAAATAAGGTATCGTCGTGAGTACGCTCTTTATATGTCCCACATGATTATTTCATTTATGCAAATATCCACTTTCTATCCCGAATCATTGGGCTGACAAGATGAAATTATTACCAAAGATATTAAATAGGAAACAAGTTCAAAGATAGGCTACCTAGTTGACCTGTGGGGGTCGTATGAGCGAAGTGCAACCATAGAGAAAATGACCAATACCAATTTTTACAAAATATTACTTTCATCTGAAATTTGGTATGGAGGTTAAGCCTGAATTCTGCACTTTAGAAATTTAACTTGTAATTTGTAAAACATATAAACCTGTTGCAAATTCCAGAAAAAGTAGACAAATTCCCGTTATTTTGAATATATAAATATTTCCCGGTACCCGGCCGGGTAGCCGGGTACCCGGCAAAAATTTTAGGCCGAGTACCGGGTAGCCGGGTACCGGGTAGTACCACTACCCGGGGCAACCCTATTTAAGTTGCAAACTTTTACCTTAAAAGCACACACGCCGTACTCTTAAAGTATAAGTAAAATAATTTATGACCATCTAATCTAGAATCGCTGTTAAAATCTTACTCTCGAACATTATGCTGAAACCAAATGTTTGGGCAAGAACAAAACCGTAAAACTCATGATGAAAAAATTGTAGAAGCGTGAAATTATTCTGCGACAAGGTTCAATAGGTTCGTTCCGACTATAAAGGTAAGGGTAAGTCCTTTCTAGCAGAATTTACTGTTTGATAACCATTTCTTGAAATACGTCACCTTGAAAATCACAATTAATTCCATGTAACGATACGCGCTAGCAATAATGCTTTGGACTCATTGAAAATATAGAGTTTGTCAAATACACAAGTCATTTCAATACATGAATTATAAATCCAAACCCAAACAAAGGTGATTAGTAGAAAATGTACAAATTTTTGAATATTCGCTAAAACTCACATCCTTATATTTGGCCGCCCAAGCCTTCGTGAACTGCCTCAAGTCTTGATTGCTTAAATCAGCTCTATCGAGTTCTCCCCTGTTTGATATTTCGACCCAATTAGCTACCACAAAGTTGAAGGCAACTTGGCGAAGATACTGTAGAAGCAAAGTTTCGTATTAATTTTTAACCCTGACAATGGAACCTTTATTCAAGCTACGCCGGGATTGTGTAACGAGTTATATATTTTAAAAAATCAAGCCAAAAATTAGGAATCACATGGCGCTTTTCATTCCGTTGAATGGCCCCTTTGAAGAAAATTATTGGGGGTCAAAGTACCCACGAGCGCCTTGGTTTTCACCTCATGGAGGGAAAGGGAGAGAAAATTTATTAAAAATTGAAATATGCCGTCAATATTTTTTTAAAGAGGTCATTCAACGAAATAATCAGCGCCACGTGATTCCTAATTTTTGACCCGATTTTTTGATATAACTCATTACACAATCCCGCTGCAGCTTGAAAAAAGGTTCCATTGTTAATGCAAGCTATGCATATAGGTAGGTATGCAAATCCATTGTACTTGCGCATTGCACTTTTCGGCGGCCGCATAAATTGTGAAGACATTTCTCAATTCCATCTGCTTCTGTAAAACCGATTCACATTTTGTCTTGAGACCAGTCTCACAATACGTCGCAGCCAATTTCATCAAATCTGTAATAAACCGAAAGACAAGGTGAATATTTTTTACAGAAAATGCACAAAGTATTGTATACTGCACCTAAAACTTTGTCTATTTCGGCATCCGAGAAATAAATTTTGTCCGTGTAAAGGTAATAAAGCAATGCGTAGAAAGTGTCCCGTTTGGTATCCTTCAATTCTATTGGGCTGAAAGTTAAATCGATATTTGTAAATTCAATCCAGGCTTTAAATGCTATTTAATAAAGCACCTATCTTGCTGCTTCCAATCATGGAACAGTTTTCGAGAGAAGTAAGCACTTCGCAAGGTCAGTATGGCCTTGTGGACCTTGATCAAGCCACCCTCCACTTTAAACTCTACATCGGTCCCGACCCCGCCCTTGCATCATATTTTGTCACATTCATATTTAATGAATTTAACAGAAAAGTAGCAAATACGCTTGGCACAAAATATACGCTTAAAAAAAGTTTCCCTTCTGTGAAGCAAATTATCTCTAAATTTCAAATTAGGTAAACTATGTGTATTAAACCTCGATCAAGTTAAACTTGATAAAAGTAAAGTTTACCCTGGATTAAAAAATGTTAATTTAAAATGGGTGTGTCTAGCTTGTTCTCTCTAAAACTTTTTACAACATGTATACTTGCTTACGTCGATCTTTTCACGTTTAAACCTAGTAAACGGGACATTTTTTAAAATATTTTAACATAAAAAATGTAACTCATGCATATTTGGCCGAGTTTGGCAAATCCATAAATAATAATTTTTCCCATGGAAAGAACAAGTCTGGCACACCCCTTGTAAGTACAGAATTCAGAGTACATTTACCATTCAAAAGGGTGACTTAATCTTTAAGAGGCTAGTTTAAAATTTAAAGCCATTTCTTACTATCGCTCTTTCCAGCGTTTCTTGTATGGTGACCGCATTTTCTGTGTGGTCCGATGCGCACAGCGATTTGCACATAATTTGTTCCCCCTCGTTAAATAGTGTAGGAGGGTGTGGAAAATTTGATAAATTCGCCACCAATTGTTTAGGGCTACTGCAAATGATTCCTTTGTCCATTTCCCCCCAAACGAAAATTTTATCCGCAGACCTTGCGGAACTTTGATTAATACCCGGCATGGAAGATATATCATCAAAAATTCCTAAATCCGCTGATATCCTGGTTGGCGTGGATAAACTTGTGGTATTTCCTGTGCCCAATTGACCTTCGTCATTAGCTCCACAAACATAGATTTCCCCAGATGTGGCCAGTAGAAGGGTGTGGTATTTCCCATTTGCAATCTACCGAAGTATTTTATAATTTTTATAAAGACGCATATGTACTAATTCTAAGGTTAATGTTCATTAATTTGGTCACCTTTGTAATCGGTTTGTCAACAAGTACTTTAGTTGGCACAAATTCAAGTGTTCTGTTTCCTATCCCTAACTCGCCATTAAGATTACGTCCCCATGAGTACACCTTAGTAAAAGAAGAAGTTAATTATGAATTCCAAATTATATATTATCTTTATTATTAAGGTCTTACGTCACCCGATTCGCTCAAAGCAAACGAGCTGTATGAGCTACAAGAAATTTGTTTAACTCTGACGTTCCGAAGATTTATGCTAATTTTACAAGGTTTGTTTTGATGCGTGTTATTTCCCAGGCCTAATTGGCCATATTTATTGTAACGCCATGAGAAAACCTCCCTCGTATCCATTGTTAAGGCGACGGCGTGATAAACACCCACCGCAAGTTGAACAATTCTCACACTTGGGTCAAATTTAATTAGTGTTGGAGTGTAATTTGATGTGTCATTCGTTCCAGTCCCGAGTTCGCCAAACATACTATACCCCCACGCGAAGATACGTCCATCTTCGGTTATAGCAAAATCAACACTTCCAATGACGAACTCTGTCCAAAGAAGTACAGGGTGGTTTAAATGTCACGCTACAATTAAAATTTTTTTAAAGGAAAAATTCGTAAGTTTCCATTAGTTACTGAAATTGTGACTGTGAAATTCAACATTTTAAGAATTTTTCATCAGTGTCCCACCAGTCTTGATAATAATTAATAAAAATCTCAATCCAAGATCTTGAAATTAATGGAGATTTAGGGATTTTTCCTATTGAAAAATTTTCCATTGTAGCGAGACATTTAAACTACCCTGTACACACATTTATGTACTTATCATGTATGAAATTATTTTATTCGTGACCATGTTTACTACTCTCACCTTTAACGCTTTGTCCACAAAGCGCTTCAATTTTAGAAGGTAAGAACCCATTTGTTAAGCTCCCTGTAGCAGGTGATATGGAACTAGAGATTTTGTACACATTATCGTCCGTAGTTACGAGAAATCCATGGTTTCCGTGGACATGGGCGACACGAACATTTTGTAAAAAGACATCACCGATAGTGTCGAAAAGGTTCCATTTTCTCAATTCCTTTAGTGGAATTGTTTTTGGGGTCAGTGGCAACGGACTTATTTCTATTAAGTCACCCATAATTGACAACTTTGGGAGAAATTGAATTAATTGAATTCACGATGTCAAATAATACCGTAATTTTAATTTTGATAAGTTGGGGTGTGGAGTGGAATGCAAGTTTGTGCTTATATCAGACCTAACTCAATGATAAGGTCTACTTTATCTTATCGCTGTCACGACTTGATTAATTAATTAGTTCATTGTGAGGAATTTTATTTGCGAGAGGCTTATCACAATGTGATATGATAAGTATGCAACGCCAAACAGGCGTGCAACATTTACGCAGCAATATACTTATATGTGCTAACGGTGCAAGTTTAAGTAACCTACATAACTAATAAATATAGAATCAAGCAAATATGGAACAAATGAAAGTTTTTATATTTAAGCCTAGTACTCAGCACGGGATTCTTAAATGAAAAAGTTTAGCAACAATTAGAGAAAGAAACAAATGCAAGCTACATTTTGAAATTGATTTGAAACACTGTCATTTACTACATTTTGCAGTGAAATTCATGTATGCGAATCTGATCCAGAAGTAAATTAATACAAACGGAGCAACCTGTTGTTGCGGATGATAAACCCGTCCTGAGTACCAGATTTTACCTAAAAATATTTAGAAACTATCGGCCGCCTCACTTAAGGCATTGTCCCAATCTCGTTCAGTCGGAGTAATCTCGATCCCACTAATCCAACACGGATTAGCTTGGCCAATCTCATAATCTAATCTTGCACATTGGTTGACCCTTCGTTTCAGGCATTTCGCGAACGCATCGGTACAAATCTGGCGTATTTTTAGATTACTAATTTCTTCCAATTTACGAATCTTTTCCGAAACCCGCTTCAAAATTTCAGGCTGGAGAGGTACCTCCCACTGCGCAGTGGCCGCGATAATTGCATCCTTAATTTTTTCCTCTTTCCAGGGCTTGCCGACGTGCAGGATTTTATTGAAGCCGTTCTCATCCAACGTAATTCTATCCTGTTTTGTTAACTTTTTGACCACGAGAACGAGAAAGACTGCGTCGTCAGGTTCTATTTTCTTGAGCCCTGTCGCTAATTTGTTGCAGATTTCGGAGAAATAAAAGCCTGCAATGCATAAGTAAATCCATGATCAATATTTATTAAAAAATTGGGTCGAAAAATGTACCATTCATAACTGTTTTTAAATTGTTACTGAGGGTTTTCATTATAGTTGATCATGTCTACATAGTGAAATAATTTTTTGAAAACAAAATTTCGGACCAAATATAAACCGTGGAGAGGCGCAAGTCACCAAATAATTTTTTAAGTCATGTATTTTTGCAAAATTGGATTTTTTTTCTAACGTTAGCAAGTCCTGCTATGTAACTCGTAATGAATGCCCTCATCGTTTGAGATTCATTGGGGAACAAAAGGGGGATACGATTTACACGGTAAAGAAGCACCGAAATTTGGATACAAACATTTCATTTTTACCGAAACTCGTCCCCGACCCCACCAAATGGTGACGTTCACCAAATAACTACCCTACGGATAACTTTCCTCACCTTCTGAATATACTTCCTTATCCAGAAATACAGATTGCACGTCCCTCACCACGATTAGCGATGGTTGCGTCGACCTCGCGGTTTCGAACAGCTTTTCTGAGTCGACGAATGCATACATCTCTGAGGATACAAGCTCTTTAATTTCTGCAGATATTTCATAACTTTTCAAACTTCGTAAAACTTTATTTCCTTCCAAATTAAATAATTCATTGTGCAGTGCATTAATCAAGTTTGTTATTGTGACGTCATCATCGCCCCAGAGGACGAGACTTTTCGCCACGTGGTCACCCCACACGAGGCCGGCTTTCTTGTACAGCTCCCTATTAACATAGGGTGCCACGACATTTCTTTGCAAGTAGGCCACGTGCGAATCAAGGCATCTTATCTTGTAAATAGGTTTAACTAAATGACCAACTCTTCATTCATTGCCAAAACTATTTATTGCAATTGGCGTCAAACTGTAGATGTATATAAGAATATTCATATACTAACACAAGTGAATGAATTTGAAATAAGCTAAATATGTTTTTTCTAAATAAAAGGTTTGATTTTATCCCAAACAGATATGTAAGAGAAACTAGAACCGCTTTTTTGCACAGGTGCGAAGATACCACAATGACTTAACATTTTTATGCACATAGTATTTTTTATGACATTATAAAAAATACTAAAAGTGTGATACTTTTAACCATATTATCCTAAAACTGCCTGGGGTTTGATCCTTTTCGCGACACCAATTAAACTTGTTACATAACTTAATCATGTATGTACCGAAGACTCACCCATTATCTAAACCGGTGGAGCAGATGCGTACATAACCCTCACCAAACTCCAAATTTCCCCACTACGCGACGAGGCAATGATTAATCAGGTTTATAGATAAATAAATAAGTGTTTGAGTGCTAACCTCGCAAATTATTAATTTAAGCATGCACAATTTGCATCGAATATTCACAATAATTTTTCCATCAGTCTAAGGCTATCACCATGAAGTTGCTTATCCTACTCGCTGCCACCCTCACCGCCGCGTACGCCGGCACCGTGGACCCCGCCCTGATCGACGCTGTTGAACGTAACGGCAAAACCGAAGCCATCCTCGAGCTTCCCCGAATTATGGGGCAAGTCGAAGCCAACCGAGCTCTTCAATCCCACACCGGTGACGCTAAAGTATCCGCCCTCATCACCACCTTGAAGGGACTCACCTCCGCTGCCTAGGCCCCCTTCATCTCTATCGCAGCGTCCCTCGGGCTTGTCACCGAGCCCTGTTGGGCTTCCAACATTATTCTGGTTAAGGGTCTAACTTTAGGAAAGTTGGTCTCATTCGCCTCCACCCCCGGAGAATTCAAGCTACGCGCCCAAAACATAGTCGCAATTCCACCGCCAGAAACAGGGGCCGAATTCGTCACTGACATGAACCAAAACACGCCGCAATGGGGAGTCGCCCAAATCCGCGCCCTGTCGCATGGGCGAATAATATTACTGGTGAAGGCATCGTCGTCGGCATCATCGACACCGGCGTTAATGGAGGACACGTTGCCCTTAACCAAAGTTTTGCCGGTGTTTGGATGGACCCTTACTTCAACCGGTCGGGGCCATCTGACCCCCACGATCATGGAACTCTAGTCGCGGGGATCATTATGGGACGTGCCAACGGTGTCGGTGTCGAGCCTGGAGCAAAATACGTCGCCTGCGCTGGATTGAATTCACAAGGCTCTGGTATAGAATATATGCTCATCCGATGCGCGCAATATTTGATTACGGAAACTCCGCGGCCCTACGTGATCAATAACGCGTGGGGAGGTCCACTGGCAGACGCCACGTGGTTTAATACAGCCATCCCTGCGTGGCGAAATGCCGGAATTATCCCAGTCTTCCCGGTCGGATATCCGCCGAACTATGCAATTCGACCTACTCCCCCGGAAATCAAGCAGACGTGATCTCGGTTGGAGCCACGAGCGAGATTGATGCCGTGTTGTTGAATTCCGATCGAGGACCAAGTCCTGATGGACTTCTTAAACCGGAATTGTCCGCTCCTGGAAGCAATATTGTTTCCTGTTGGTATGGATATGATAACTATCGCACCACGACGGATGTGACATTGGTAAGGTTTGATTATGATTTCGAATACAAATTGTATAATTTCCGGCAAAATTTATTTAGGCTTCTGCCCACGTGACTAGAGCTGTGGCCCTTATCCTTTCGGCTCATCCAACTTGGACATTTGATGATATTTTGGACGCTCTCATTACCTCTGCGGTTCACCCGACTCTCTCGAATGAGGACCGAATCTGTGGACTCCCTGGACCAGGTGACTACCCAAACTATTCCTTTGATCATGGACGTATCGATGTGGCTGCAGCTCTAGGCCTTTAGATTGGTTTAATCTATCATGGTTTAAATAAAAATCAAATTTTTCTTCTAAATACGTATGCATTCGTCCTGATATAATTGTATCAACTTAGGAAATAAAAAAATATACCATATTTTTAGATACTGCAGTCAATAAACGATTCTTATTTTTTTCTTGACGTCATTTATATTTTAGATAAATATGTGAGCATTTTTATTTATGTCTGTCCTAGTTGTCACTATTCAAAATTAGAAAATTGCATATCTAATTATAGACACCATATTTATAAGTTGAATGCCACATACAGTAAACGACTACAATACATATATTCAAAGTTTTCAAATTCCCCAGATGGTTGGTGAATAGTTATTGGATTGGCGGACAATTTTAATCTTGCCTCGTATTTGGCTTTGTTAAATTTTTTTTTAAATTAATAAACTATCTTAAGAATGTTATTTCCTTTTTGCATAATAGATCACGTACATACATTATTTTACAGTAGGTTATAACGTTCAAAACTTTATTTATGCAAGTATTGGCATATTCCTTCGTATCCATCATTTGCACATATGTATTTACATAAATATGTATGTACGTTTGCAAAAATATGCATGCACAGGCAATAATTTACATACAGGTGGGAGACAAATGTATCACTACTTTCTGGATGTTTCAGTCTTTATTGTTTTAAACATTCAAATCAATCTGCTAAAAATTATACATTGTTATAATTTACATAAATAAGGATAAATTTATCAGATAAATAAATCATGAAGAAGTTTAATTTAACTATTCCACTTTCATATACATAATTTGAGGACCACTCATTAAGTACTCAACCCAGTATAAAATCTTAATCAACTTAAATTAAATATTTACTAGAAACTTGAAATTAAAACTATTTATGTACTATCTCGTGTGAACATTAACTAGGAAAATTAGATAATCAAGTTAGATGTAACATACTTTGGGTTCTAGTGATTCTGGAAATCTAACATAAAACCATAACAAGAAATGCACCTTTGTAAACTTACAATTATATTAAAGGTGCTAACTATATGTATATGTACTATAGTGTAGGCTTAGGGAAATTTCGCAATTTCTTAAATAAGCGGATGTGTATATGTGATACTAACTGTATGTATATATTTTTATGCTAGATTAGGTTTCACACTGTGGCTACTTTTCACTGGTAGAAAGCCACAGTCACCAAATGCCCAATGTCCTATAGCTAAATACCTTTACTTCGTAATTTTTTATTCATTAAAAAACAAATGTTAGTAGATAAGTATTAAAATTAAGTATGAAAGTACATATGTATGAAACGCACGCAACAGTAGATAGAAATTATAGTAAGAAGCGTATTACTCAGAACGCCTTATTTAGCTACTGACCTCACCAATTTGTCAAGCATAGAACCTTAATATGGTGAATATGTTGAAAATTTTGGAAAATTCCTGATTTTAAAAGCTAGCCACGCCTTACTACATATGTAGTATAGAAAGCAATTTGAAATGTAATCATGTTCGCTAATTTCGAAATTTTGCATGCACAATCCTAATGTTGCCATGCAGATTTAACGTAACCTCCCTTTTTCCCTTAAGACTTTCCACTTGTAACGGAAAATCACACGACCTCTCCTTAATATGTTTGGATTTACAATTCTTTTGTATTGTTATTACATTATTTATACAATTAATAATGTAAGTTTATGGGCTCGCAGGGGGGAGTTTAAAATTTTTCCATTCATTCATTTACAATTTCTTACTTGTTTTTGAAAATATATACTTGGAAAGACGCATTTTTATTACATCAATGTATCCTTATGTATATATATATGTTCAATATGCAGCACTTCCTGTCTCCCTCTCAATAAAAATTTGTTAGAACCAGTTAAAACCAGCCAAATTTGTGTTTAAAGTATGTAAATATGTATGGATATCAACTCCATAGCTATTCCTTTATCATTTTTTTGCAATTTAATTCGACAACTCGAAAAATTTTCCATAACACTCTGAAGATCTGTACGAATACTTCCCCATTTGAGGGAATTAGATTATAAAATATGGGACGATACATAAACTCGTCCGATAAAAATTAAGGGGTGCCCAAAACACTTGGCAGAAATTAAAACTATGACTAATACTACCACTTTTGGAACAACTTCTTCTCCAATCGTAGAAGTTTCAACCCATGTAAATCTTATCAAACCTTGACAAACAATATTATTTACCGTTACATCATATACATTTTGTTTTATAGTCCTTCTTAAACAATCATATAATTGAAAATGAGATTTCGTTTATTTCTGTTCATGTTTTCATTGAGTGTGTTTTTCATAGCGTTAAAGTCAACAGAGGGCGACTAAGATATTTGAGATATTTTCAAGTAATTTTATGTATAAACATGAATACAAAACATGTGCAATTATGTGTGCATATTCTTGGGTTGCTAGCCACAAAACCTGGTGGGGGAAATGTTTCCACCTGGCTAATGCATTTCCACACAAAACCTGATGTCGCAGATTTTAGAAATTTTAAATCCGGTGGAATCATTTTTACTATGAGATTTTATACCCAATAAATCAGGAGTATTCACTCCTTCGCATTTTTACTCAAAATTTTTTGAACATACACTGTTAAAAATCTGCGTAACCCAGAAATAGTTAGATTCTAGATTACTCTGTGTGTAGTAAAACTAGTATCGTACAGAGTTAAGTAGCTAACCCGTAATAAGGTAACTGCAATAAATGACACGTATATGAAATTACATCTGATCTGTGTTGAACTTGTCCCACTCAGGGTTGAATTACCCTGAGTGGAGTGAAAAATAATGGGCGGTAAGGGTCTTTGTGTTACTTGGCTTTTCTACCGGCAACACATCATTTCCTCCTGAGCGGACTGTGTTCAGTTCAGTTTTTTTAATCTAATTATTTTAATTATTTAACTTTGATTAAACAAAATCTCTGACCACTTTTTAAAAGTTATAATTAAATGAGTTTCGTGGAAGTCGAGCGTTTGCTGCAACAGTGCGAGCTGCATGAATATGTCGATAAATTTAAAGGTGAGTGTAGCATGAATCATCATAATACTTGTAAAAAGATATAATTAAAAATTAAACTTTTTAGATAATCATATCGACTATGAAGAGCTGCTGTTGCTGCAGAAGGATGACCTCATCCCCTTAATTCCTAGTGTCGGACACCGAGCAAAGTTATGGAGGGTCATCAGCAAGATTATTTCAGGCCAGGTTTATCTGTGCTTCCTGTGTCGTTCTAGTTTTACTAGTTTGAATAATTTATCCATACATTTAAAGTCATTGCATAATTTAAAAGGGGTTGACCAATATCAGTGTCCACATTGTAACTGTTTTTTCGAGCGGCGAGCTTATCTAAAACACTTTCGGAATGTGTTTAGGTTGCACAATAGTTTGAATTTTAATAATTACAACTTAAATATTTCGAAACCCGACTCTGGCATAGGTAGTGTTTCAGGTAGTTCAGAGCCAGCCTCAGACGTTAATCTAAGCGAAGATTTGGATAGTTGTTATCGCCAAGCATTTGATAATCTGGAATTCACGGTAACTAAATTGTACGCTTGCATTTTAGAATCGGGCAAAATTCCAATGTCAACTTGCAATTCCATTTTAAAGGCAGTAAAGAATATAGTTGAAAAAACTATTACAAGTTGCAAATTATTAGCTGAGACAGAATTTGTTAAACTAGAAGATAAAAATGACAGACAACTAATTAACTTAATATCAATGGATGGGCTGATTTCAATTTTTGATAAATTTAGCAGTAAATACAAGATGGACAAGTATTTTTTACAAAACCGTCTTATGTTTAGTCCCAATGAAATTACCCTTGATACTGATATCGTTTTTAAAGCGACAAAAAGTCGGAAAAGGAAGCAAGTTTATGAATGTGTGACTATGCAGTATATTCCGATTAGGTCGTCAGTAGAACAGTTATTAAATAAACCCGGGTTCTACTCCACCTTACAAACTGGCAAAAGATATAACGGAGAATTTTACTCTTGTTTACGCGATGGAAAACTAGTTAGAAATTTTCATAACGCCCGTGATATTATATTTATAACTCTTTATTATGATGATGCCGAGGTCGCAAACCCTCTAGGATCAAAAAGTGGCAAGCATAAACTTGCCAATTTTTATTTTTGCATTAATGACATGCCTCAGCACTATCAGGCGAAACTTGATGGCATAATTTTATTGGTCACCTTAAAGTCGGAGGATTTGAAATTATGCACTCCAAATGCAGTGCTTAAAGTAATTTATGATGAACTTTTAGATCTTTGGAAGAATGGGATAAAATTTGTATATAATAATGAAGAATTAAATGTAAAAATTGTATTGGCACAGGTTTGCGGAGATAACCTCGGGTTGCATTACTTATTGGGTTTCTCGGAGGGCTTTAATGCAAACTGGCCTTGCCGTAGTTGCAAGATGCATAAAAAAGATTGCCAAACTTCTGTTTTAGCAGACAAGTCCAAAACCAGAAACAAGGATAATTTCGAGTTAGATATAGGGCGAAATAATTTGAGCGAAACAGGTCTAAATTTCGAATCCATTCTCAACAAATTGCCTTATTTTCATGTTACCAAAAATTACGTCTTTGATATCATGCATGATCTGTTTGAGGGTGTCGCACCTGATTTATTTAAACTTGTCATTATGCATTTAATTGAATCAGGGAAACTGACATTTGACAAACTTAATCACAGATTGGAGTCATACGATTTTGGCAGGCATTATTCTAAAAGTAGACCCTCACAAATAAAATTGTCATTTATGAAGGGAGAGACAAAAGCAGGACAAAATGCTTCCCAAAATCTATGTCTGATTCTTTACTTCCCATTATTAGTAGGAGATTTGGTAGATGATGGTGACAAGATCTGGTCATTATTTCTTCTGTTCCAAGAAATTGTTTGCATACTATTATCGAACAACATTACAAAGGGTGGAGTTTTAATACTGGAATCCTTAATTTCTGAATTTCTTC